GCAGAAACAGCAGCAGGAGAATAATCAGTAAAACTCCAGAAACCAGACCAACAACCAGCGGCACGAGAAACACAGAGCTTGATGCTGCTTCTTCAGGATCTACACACAAGTACACACCAACCATGAAGAGATACACAAGTAACAATAATAATACAGTTTATTTATAACACACTCTTCATCAAACTAACTTCTAATTCAGTGACACCTTTTCTCACTCAGACTGTAACACATGTTACAAAACTCGTACTCACATTTCACTGACAACCAGCTCTCTGCTGAGGTCAAAGTCTCCAAACCTTGAGGTGATTTCCTTCCTCTACATTTATAAAAGCCTTCATCTGACTTAGTAACTGCAGAGATAAGCAGCTCCCCTCTGGCAGGATTTGGGATGAGTTTGTCATTTTTATAGAAATCCACATTATAAAGAAGGTTTTCTGTCCTCAACTTGCAGCCAAGAGTGACGGAATGTCCCTCAGTCACAGGATGGACAGAACTCACCAGGATGACATCACCACCTGTAAAGAGACCAGAGGACAGGAAGTAAAACAAGCTGATGAACAATGAGAAGAAGACATTTATAGTTTACATTTGTTATTCACAGTCACACAGTAGCTGAGCGAATAGCTGCATTTCATGGATGGAAGAGACGGCCCTTTGGTGACGTACATGCTCACAGTTACATCTTTAATTAATGCTCAATATGTCGGGAGACAAATGTCCACTTAGTGGCAGTGAGCTACAGAATGGTCTAAAAGGTACAAAGTGAGCAGATAACTCTACAGCTCCTCCTGGTTTAAAGTCAACGGTGGATGTCAATGGTCATAAAGAGGAAAGTAAACCACAAAGACGTGTTGGATAATACAGAGAAATGATACTGCAGCAAACTAAGATTGTTGAATCGTTTGTTAAAATAAATATTGAGTTAAACTCATCATAAAGTCACCTTAAAAATGTCAGCACTCTATAATAAGATGTGTAAATACTTTAGATATAAAAACCTTTAAATGAATATAAACTCACTGTGTATAGTGATGTTGGCTGCATTGCTGGACTGTGTTTCAGACTCACACCAGTACACTCCACTACTCGCTCTAGTGTCGGTGTTGCATGTGGATCCAGTCATTTCTCCCCAGTCAGAACATGATGACACGTCACCATCTTCATCAACGTTCTTCACTCTCCACTCAGCAGAGTTTCCCTCACAGATCAGTGACAGTGACTCTGTGCTGAAGTGCTGCAGTCTGTGAGGACTCACTGTGAGAGACGCTGCTGGATTCACACCTGAAGACACATCATTAGGAGACACACACAGGACAAACAATGTCAACACAAAAAGGACATTTATTCCCTTGTGCAAGAATATAAAAGTCTGAACAAACTCACCTCCAGACCAGACAAACTTCACACCACTATACTGAGTGTAAAACACAGGATCTCCTCTTCCAGCTCTGCACACATATCCTGCTGTGTGTGTCTGTCCATGAAGAATGTAGGAATCCTGTTCAGTCCCAGTGGTGCCACCAGCTAGACGCTCATAGGTGTAGTAGGATGACAGGTCTGGAACAGCCTTATACCAGAAGAACCTCCATCCTGCAGACGGAGGTCCAACACTGCAGGTCAGAGTCACTGAGTCTCCAGGACTCGTCCATGATGGAGACACTGTGAGGACAGACTGAGGGACATCTGTTGGAAAGAGGTTTGACAGCATAAAGACGTGTTATGATGAGTCCTTGGTGGATTACTGTCACTGCTGATGTCCTCCATCTTTTTATCTGTCTTCATGTGTTAAACAGGTGTTTGGGTACAATGTCTTTAAACATAGTAACTAATCTCACATTTCAAATATTCTATTTCAGATTCTTTGTCCTTAAATCTGCACTTGTAAGAGCTCCCATCAGACATCAGAGAAATGGTGATTTCATGTGTGTGTTGATGGTTCGTGTCCATCTCAATAAGTGTTTTGTCTTTGTAGAAGTCAGCATTCTTCTCCTTTCTCTGGTCTCCATGTCGACAGTGAAGAGTCACTGATTCTCCTTCATACAAGGAGGACGCAGGAGTTAAAGGATCACATCTCTGTCTGTGGAACAGTTACTTCTTTGCTTTACTAAATCAGTTTCATTAAATGAACAATGCTACAAGATATCAGTGATTTATGTTTCCTACATAATTATAATTTAACATAAAGTTGCAGACAGAAGATGTCAAAGTCAGTCTCCCTGTAATAAATAAAAAAAGGTTCACTGAGTAATGAGAACATTTCACCTGAAGGAGGCGCCACACTCTGCTGACGTGTTTGATCCATTTGTGTTATCAATAATTAATCAATAACTAATATATAATTTGTCAATAGGGATAAAATATGGGATGGTTTGTCTTAACTGTCCATCTTTCTTTTGTTTTATTTAAAATGATCCATATTATCTGATCCTTTTAAACACACAGCTGATTAAACAGCATCAGTATCAACTTTATTACACTAGTTAACATGTATTAATCATAACTACATTATATTACATTAGCACTTCATCAAATAGGTTTATTAAATCAACATGTCTCATTAATATAAAAGTGCTTTAATGAACTCATCGTGATGGTAAAACTTTGATCACTTATCTGATACAGTTAGAGAGACTTTATTACTTTCTCTTGTAACAGGACGGATCTTGTGATCAGCAACACACTGATATTCACCACTATCTCCTCTAGTTAGAGATGATGACTTATATCTATTCTCAGTGAATGTATCAAAATAAAGGAAGTTGTATAGAAACCTTGAGCGTGTCCACAGTAGAGGAGAATATTCAGCGCTAAAATAAAGTGAGAAACATCATCAAACTGACAGAAACTATTAACTTTTGGCATTTAAAAAGTTGTATCTATGAAAACTATGATTTAAACAGAGAAAGTACTCACAGAAAAGCCCCAACGCACCAAACAAGATGTGTCCCATCCTCACATCCACGCTGACACTCGCTTGTGAGAAACGCTTCCGCTTCGTGTCAAGAGACAGTTTGAAAGGTGTGAAACATGCAGAGAAATGTGGAAATGCAGAGACCACAGATGAATATCAGATGTGAGGTTTTCTCTAACTTCTGTTTATGATTCATTCTTTATTCTACAGCAGACATTTTATTTGAAATATATCTAGTGACCCAGAGAAAAGCGTTCCATCATTTCAGAACGACTGATATAAAAACCCTGTGAGATAAAGAGAAGTGAATCACAGAAGCTCGCTGAAACAGACCAAAATAAATCCACCAACTTTTAATTAGCCTTAAATATAATAAGTGCAGGAGGATTTGGAGCATTCTGGGACGATGAAGATTATCTTGTATTCTGTTTATCTTTTTTGTATTTTCCAATATAAAACCAAAAACTCTACATTTAACTCTACATTTAGAGAAGGTATAAATCTGCAAAACTTTTAAAACACTTAAAAAGAGGAAACAGCTTAGACGCTTTGTGAGGCGTCAGGACTTCGACTCAGGTGCAGAGCAATAAAGCAACGTAAAACTTCTTCCCAGGTTTGGAACCTTTTACTTGCAGAAAAAAAGTAATGTGAAACAAAAAGTAGCACAGGCGACCTTCACACGCTCTGGTAGAAATACAAAAAAAGGAAAAGGGCCTGGAAAAGAAGTAACACAACAAGATAACCACAAACCAACACTTGGAATACCAGAATACAAAAACATGCAACTCGGGGAGGGCGGAAAGACAACCTGACACAGACGAGTGGGGAACTGAGGCTTAAATACAGGTGGAGGTGATTGCAAACTAAACGCAGCTGTGGGGAGAAACGAAGGGTGAGAAACTAGATACAGGAAGTGCAGTGGTTACAAAAATAAAAATAGGAAGTTAATCTTCACTGTCTCTTCGAGTCGTCAGATGCTTTCACAAGAAAACTGCAGCCAGAGTGTGAGGAGAAGAAGCACAAGGCTTCTCAGAATAACCTTTCCCCTTTACACATAAAAGACGTGTTGCTGTTGGCTGTGTGGTGTCACATGACCACCTTCACACCAGGGCTCATCTGCTTCTACAGAGGTGTGATACTCTGTGATGTATGACATCATGTTTTATTTCTAAGAAGTAGACATTAAGTTCTTAGAAGAGTAAGTAGTAGAGTACTCTTAGTAGAGTAAGTTTTAGAACTAATGCAGGAGACCCGTGCATTACGTGATGAAGCCCAGAGCAGATGGTCGTAGATCATTTTAGTCAATGTATTCAGAACGAACAATGTAGCATCATTTTCATCAGAAATAATAGCTATAAATGTTGATTTTGACAGACATTGATTATGTAATGAGATTGTGGCTACAAGGCCGATGGGAAAAGGATCTGCTGGCGATGTGATCATACGGTACAGCTGTAGACCCGGAGGAGTCAACACATCTGTCCACTAACTGCAGTCCTCACAGTGATACATGATGGTCAAGAGGATGTCATTTTTCTCTCTACTTGGTCAGATCAATACCAAAAGTATCGATACTAAGCTTAGTTTCTGCTATTGATCTTGCTAGGATCAATTCGAAAGACAGTGATCAGGCTCACGTTAGCTCACACTCTGGTTATAGGAATAGTCTTTAGTGATGCACTCGCCTCATGAAATGTGACAGTGGAAAAGCATTCATCAGAAATAGAAGCAGCGTTTATGCGGTGAGCCTCACTTCTTGTTGCCAGCGTGTTTGATGCATCAACTTTCACAGCTCTAGTTTAACTTGTCGATTGTGTCGTGATATTTGGGCTCTCAAGTGTCACGCATTGAACGTTGGTTCCTCTTCAACCTCCCCGGCGGTAGGTCCCCCTCTGGCCCCCCTCTGAGAACTGTAGCAGCTGCTATCCAAGTAAGTCGGACTACAAAGAATCAGCCATGCCAAATATCAGACGTCCAATGAAAAGTTCCTCAGCGAAGCGGCTGCCAATAGAATGACGTAGAAGCCAGGTGCGATGAAACTGCAATCAGTGGGCGTGGTTTAAAGTAGGGTGCCGACGCCTATAAGTGTTTCCGGTCGCTGCACGGCTTGAACGCTGCTTCATGACTTCCTGCTGACATTCGCCAACGAACCCCCTCCAGCCATGAGTTCATCAAAACCCTACATTGGCTGTAAAATAGGGTTGATTTCCAAAGCTCAAAATCGTTATGAAGGCATTTTGTACACGATTGATAAGGTGAACTCCACAGTAGTGCTGGCAAAAGGTGAGTGACGAGGGCCTGTGTGCGGCAGCCTGTTATTCCACATTTCTCTTTTTGGCGGCACGATTGAAACTCATTCATTTCTATAACCAGTCCGGTGTTTTGGGACTGAGGGGCGACCCACAGACCGACCAACACCGGCCAAAGACGACGTCTATGAGTACATCACTTTCCGGGGAAGCGATATCAAGGACATCACGTTGTGTGAACCTCCGAGATCGCACCACGGCCTTCCCCCGGACCCCGCAATAGTACAGGTGACCAAAAGTTGCATGCACAAAATGTGCGAATAACCAAGAAAATGTGCATGAAATTGTTCTAAATTGTTATTTCAGTCAGCCAGTGTAGGCCCTCAAGGTGTGTACCCCGCTCTGGGGCCATTTAGCCCCCTGAGGATGCCTGCCTACAACCAACTGGCCGCCAACTCTCTGCTCAACCAGCAGTATGCAGCGGCTCTCGGCCTCGGTAAGTCAAGGAACATGTGTCGACCCTTTAATCGGCACCCTCAGTGAGGCCGAGTACTTTTCTCTAGCTTGTTTGCACACTAATGTGTTTTTGTTTTGTTCACGGAGGGCCAGTGGTTCCTGGTTTACAAGTTAGAAGGGGCGCAATGGTGGAAAAGGCGAGTCAAACTCTGCATGTGGACCGACTGAGGCAGCGGGGAGGCTTCGCTGCGTCCCAGGAGCCGGCGCAGCAGTGGGAGAGGAGGCCCCAGAGGCCCCAGAGGCCCAGACGAGCGAGTCCCCAGAACAGAAGGGCCACCGGAGCCAACCGTAAGACAGCCATTAGCCTGACAAAAGGCCAAAATGAAATCCTGATGTTTTCTAATATACTGAAAAGAGATGAACTAGCATTCTCAGAAATTGCTTAATCGGTTTAGGAAATGTCCGCCTGTGCAATTTAACGTGGGAATCTTGAGTGACTGTAAATGTTTATAATTTCAAGTGAAGTCCGGCCCCGCTGTGCCCAGTGCTCAGCAGGAAACTCTGCCGCAGCATTATGACATCAGGCCTCCACCCAGGAGACCAGGTAATTGTGAAAAGCATCAACTTTATTTTGGATTGTCTGAAAACCTTAAAGTCCTTTAACAATCAATGCATTTTGGATCACAAAACGCAGGAGCTCGGCGAAACCGGAACCGGAGCAGAGGCCAGCTGATGGTGTCTCCCGTTCCATCGGCCATCCTTAAGTTTGACACAGACTTTGATTTTGATTCCTCGAATGCCCAGTTTATTAAAGAGGAGCTGGAGAGGGAGGTGCAGGACCGGATTAAAGGTTGGTTAAAATGTTCTCTCCGTATGAGTTATTTATTCCAGTTGACTTGCTTTGCGTGACTGTCTGCAGATGGAAACCCTGAGGTAGGCGAGAAGGAAAAGGACAAATTGCACTCGACCGCAAAAGAGGACAAGTTTGGCCCCAAATGCTACTACGACAAAGCAAAGTCTTTCTTTGACAACATCTCGTCCGATAACAAGTTCAGGTAAACTAGTGGCCTTTCGTCCCCCTCACACATGCACATCGCCGCGTCTCCTGTACGTTGCGCTACAGGCTTGTCCCTCTGTCCGTGTCCACCAACCGTTTCAGACTAACGTGGGCAGAGGAGCGGAAGCGCAACCTGGAGACTTTTGGGGTCCCGGGCCGGTTCCTGAGGGGCCGGGGCTTCAGAGGTGGCTACGCGGGACGCAGAGGACGCGGCGCTGCTCAGACGGACTCTCCTCACAGAATCAGGACGGCCGTGGAGTTCTGAGATGTTTGCTGAACCTAATGGGACTGATGCCCGTTATGAGGATCAGCACAAGCGGCATTATTATTATTATTATTATTATTATTATTATTATTATTATTATTATTTTTTTTTTTTTTTTTTTCTTCCCTGAGGCAGTTTTCCTGCCCCATATTGCTGGGATTGTATTTTTTCTTATTTGGCCCCATTTTAAATATGGATGCCCGCCTCACTAAATGGTCCACCGTTTGAGACCAATTGGTCTCTCCTCAGAATGTCGGCGAGAATATTTGTTTTTGTTTAATCTTTCAATTAAATAGTGAACTTTAATTTGTTTTTTTTTCTGCTACTTGGAAGAATTTCACTCCCAAACGTGTATTAGTTTAATAAGAAAAGGATCCGGCTTTGCCTCAGCACACTTATACAAATGTAAAGTATGAATATTAATCTAAAATGAACTAAGTTAAAAGTAATTTAAAAGCTCTGTATTGTGAATTTGACCGGTGTTGTCATATTGAAGCAACAAGCTAATTCAAATAAACTGGTAATTGCTGATGTGCTTTTTTGCTGAGGATGAGTCACGTGATACTGTCAGTTACTTGTATACATGTCAACCTTGGGTTGACATTCTGTGAAATGTAACTAAATAGTTCCCTATTGGCGGTATTATGCTTACTTGTTCCTTGTGGGTTGTTTTAAAGCTGCTATTCGCCCCAACGGGCATCTGAGCCCTTTTCATGCTGCCATACTTTTGGCAAAGTGATCTTACTCCACCACTAGTATGCATCACTTCCTTCCTTTTTCTTTTCATTAATATTGTCAATTGTGGGAAAGGTAATCGCAAGTAAAATAAATATTTTTGCTCCTTCGATAATTAGACGGACTTAAGAGGTAGTCTCGTATATCTGGAGGTGTAGAGAAAACCAATTTGTGGGCTACAATGTGACTGATTGGCTTCCTTGAATCAAAGGACAGCGGTGTCGGCTACTCACCGTCCGGGTTGTACCAAATACTAAGAGGGGGGGGGACCTGTCGCGTAACACTTCATATACGTGTCATTTATTCTCGTGCATAGCAATAAACGACTAAGCAGACGCACGTGGTTAAATTACATTCGGTTAAATCCAGTGTCTTAATTGCCCCCCCCCCCCGTGACGGGATATCTCACCGTAACACCACTACCCCCCCCGTTTCCCGGTGATGGACGAACTGTGTACCCGCGTAGAGCGCTGCGATCGGAGTGATAAACATTAGAATGAAAGAAGCGCTTTTGGTTCCCACGTGACAAAATGTCCGTGGCGTTCCCACCGGCGCGGGCCAGGGCCAAAGGGCACGTGACGCAGCACGCGATCCAAACGGTAAGAGACACAAAGACGTAACCGGCAGCGCCGCTTTGCGAACCAAGCAAAGCCGCGGCGGCCACGGCGGTGACAAAACGCTGGTTCCCGTCGCGGCTCCTGCCCGCCCCGTGACCAACGTGCTCAATTTGCCGGATAAACAAACGTCAGCATGTCAACGATTTATAAGCGCAACACTTGTCACAAAGCGTCGCGGCAGGTTCAAGCGGTTTTTATGGACACAAGTAAAAAGAGCGTTACACGAATAGCGAAGCCCGTGGTAAGAAAAGCACGGTGGTGTTTGATGGAGGGAAACTGAGACTGCTGCTTTAAAAATGCAATAACTGACCCAGAAAAGGGGGGGTGGGGGGGGTTGAAGATCTGTGAAAATCCAGGACGACGCTGCACGTCGTTTTTCATGCACTGATCTGAACTGTTGGTGTCGCCCAAAGATGCTGGATGAAAATAATCATCTAATACAATGTATTATGGATTACCAAAGCAAAGGAAAGAGCGATGAATGCACACAGTGAGTGCTTCCTTTTTTTTTTAATTCCCGACTGCTGTTGAAGTGAGCACATGGACTGTTTCATTTCCCCCTTTTTCAACAGGTATCAGCAGATCCTGCACAGAAATCTAGTGTACTTGGCCACAATAGCCGATTCGAATCAGAACATGCAGTCACTACTACCTGCAGTGAGTCCTCCACGAGTGACAAATATAACAGTAAAGATTCCTTCCTGTCTTTGTCAGTTGCACTTTGACCCGACCCCTGACTCTCAAAAAGTAAATTACTATATATAAACTTTTGTTTATATTTTGTACGGCAATTTGTCTGCTGATTAATCCATAGCGCAAGAAAAATGGAGGACGGGGTTTCGGACACGCAGTCTCACCACGCTTTTTACACTTTTCTAGCCTCCCACTCCCAACATGTCTATGGGTCCCGGAGGGATGGGCCAGAGCGGGGGACACGCTCCAAACCACCTCAATGACGCCATGGCACCAGGACTGCCCCCCGCATCAGTGATGCAGAGCCAAATGAGCAACGGTGAGAAGCTGCTTTTGCTCAAACTTGATTTCCCCCCCCGCAGACGCCGACTCGTCGCCCGTCCCCGTCTCGAGTGCTCTTCTGATCCTGACTCAGCTGCGCGTCTTCTGCAGAAGCTGTTTGTCTGTCCGTAGCGTGTCAGTCGCCTGCAAGCATGCGATTTAACTCGAGTTGAGCCGAGTCCGATTTGTTTGCAGCCATTGCAACTTCTTCCTTCTTTCTCCGGTTCTTTCTTCTTCTTTTTTTGACACTCATCCCTCCATCTTTGTACAAACATGCAAACTTCCCTATAGAGATGAACTGAATGTGGGCCCCGCCCGCTGATATGCCGTGGCCCCCCGCGTTTGGACCCGTTGGGCTGCTCTGACTGTGCGTGTGTGTCGTCAGGCTCTAGCCACGCCCCCCATGCAGCAGCACGCCGCCCAGGTGCAGGCGGCTGTTCCCCCCCGCGTCCCTCAGCCTGCGAGCGGGCGGCTACGGCCGCGCTGCGCCTCCCTCTCAGGGCAACGGGCCTGGTTGTGGCCCTTCCTCTTCCTCCACCCGCGGAAACCTCAGCGTGCAATCCAGCCAAGGTGAGCCGGGTGTCGAGGAGCCTGATCACCGGGGTAATCGGTTTGTCTTCTATCAGACGGAATCATATCAGCCGTATGATTTCAACACGCCCAAAAAAACGCTGACAAACCGCCGTGGTTGCTGCTCTCATTAGTCTTTTTAAATTCCCTCCAAATGGAAATAACATTCAGTTCATCAACGAGGCCTTGACCCCAGGATGCAGCCCCCCCCCCCCTTTTTTTCTTCTTTTCTTTAAGAGACCCCTGTGTGACACACGCCCCCCCCGGACCCCCTCTCCTCGTTTTTGCCCGGGGCCACAAGTTCCGCGGACCTCATTTTGCATTTGTTGTATCTGTTGAATGCCGTCCCGGTTATGTGCGTGGAGCCTGTCGCTGCATATTAATGCGCAGCATCTCTTCCCAGCCTCCATGACGCATCAGCAGTCTGCTGCGCCGCACTACTCCTCGGCCCAGGTCGGGGGTCAATACTATCAGGGACAGCCGGCCATGATGGGTGCGGGCGCTCAGGGAAACGGCGTGATGCCCCAGAGGCCCCTGGGATCCTACCGCTCCGCACAGCCGGGTAGGTGGCGAGCCTTCTTCCCGCCTGGATGCGTGTTTTTTTAGTTTTTGAAGCTGAAGCGAATGAGGCCATCGCCGTCGCCTCAGTGCGACTAGCGGGCCGACCGCAGATGACTCGCCCGTGTCGCAGTTGGTTTGCGTCTTCGTAAATCCCTTAACTTGTGCGGCGTCAGCTCGGGCCTAATAATAGCTCCGCCCCGTTAAGTCCGTTAAAAGGGTGGAGGTGATGACCACGTGTACAAAAGGGCGGGATATGGTTTCCGGGGCAACGCGCCATGATCGCACGTCGTCGTACACCCTGGTACATTTCTGTTTCTCAGTTTCATCAGTCGTGTGTCTCTTCCAGAGAGTTGTTGTTCTGTTGGATTCCACTGAAGGAGAAAGGAACCGTCTGGTCTCTGCACACCACCGAGCGGAGATCGCTTCACTGTCATTAGTGTTTTTTTTTTTTAGGTCAGCGCCCAACAGCTTCCTCCACAATATCATTTCAGCCCATAGAAAACCACCACCGGTGAAAAATGACATAATTAAGTTAAAAATAAAATTGATATTTAATATTAGAAATAGCCTTATAACTACATAATGACTTCCAAGAAAAGCTGTTCAAAAATAATCGTCCTTCATTATATACTTCTATCATTTATTCTCAAACACACATATGCTCACACACAGACACACATAAACACACAATCTGGAACCCTGAATCGCCCCAAATGTCCTGGCACAGGAGTCCGTGGGATGAGACGGGTTCTAGGGAGAGCAGCATGGACCCCGGTGGTCTGTGTCCACATTGTCCCCTGCTTCCTCCCCGGTGTTTCTTCATGCATAACATGAAGCCTCGGCCTTGTTGCTTGTGATTCCCTACGAATGATTTAACTTCAGACTGCGAATGCTAATCCCTCTTGTCAACGCCAGTGACTGTTGCTTTGCTGCAGCGGAGTCGCTGTGTTAACGGTGCGCTCCACAGGTCACGGGGAGTACTCGTATCAGCAGTCCTCATATGGCGAGCAAGGCTACGACGGATCCTTCGGCGACTCCCCACAGCATTACTACGAAGGAGGTAGCCGTCCGTCATCTTGTGTTCGGGGTATGTTCTTCTTTTCACGGTCACAGTGGCGCCTCTTATCATTTGGATGCGCCTCCAGGCAACCCTCAGTGCAGTCAGCAGCAGGCCCAGTACCAGCAGGGATCCGGCCAGCAGCAGTATTCCTCTCAACAAGGCTACGGCGGAACGCCACACGGAGGATACGGTCAGAGCGGCTCTCACGGCCTCCCGCGTGCCAACGGCGCATGGAACAATCCGCCGCATTGACTGAATGCGACCCCTCTGCTGCAGGTGCAGGCCAGGCTGGATCCTCTCAGTATCCTCAGTACCAGCGGGGTCAGAGCGGTCAGTACGGATCCTACCGCCCCTCTCAGGGAGGCTCCGGGGCGCCGACGCAGAGGCCGCGCGCGTATGAAACGGTACGTGAAAGTAGAGCGGATCTCCCGATTCTCTGCAGCACAGACGGATACCGGCGCGACAGATGGGAAAGTATGTGTATCATCCATATGATTCCTGTTCCGTTTAAAAACCGTATTAACTACCGGCTTCATGACGTAGCACGGTGAATTTTATCGTGTAAGTAGTTTGAGGCATGAACATCATACGGTCTAAAACTCTTTTCTTGGTTCCTGTATTTTCAAATTGAGTATAAAACATTAAGAAAGCAGATGGGTGCAGCAACGCGGTTGTAACTTGAGTTTCAAACGATGTCTAATCTCTGGGTTTAAATCTTCTTTTACATTGCAGGGTCAGTATGGGAACTATCAGCAATAAAGTAGCACGCCGCCGTCCAAAAACCGGAAAAAAGAACGATTCAACTGTGGAGTAGAAGCTGCGTCAGATGTCTCAGCCTCTCATTAATCACCAGTAGAATACATAATCAAATACGATGCGTCTGTTCTGCTCGCTACAGAGATGCGTCGCTGAGGTTCTTCAGCGCTGCCGGCCTCCTTACGGACCGTCAGGGGGCTTTAATGGAATAAAAGCAGTTCCGTATGGATTAAATAGGCACTCGCGTGATTCAATGGGCCTCAACAAATTGCGTGCATTCTTCTGTCTTTGCCCTCCACTTGTTTTTATCCGAGCTCAGGCTTCTAATATAAATCTAATTTATCAAGTCTCCTATTTTTGTGCTTTTTTTTTGTGTGCGTAGAGCAGGTTCGGGGTTTGTGAGGCTGAGGCGATAAAAAGCAAATGTTCCTTGATATTTATCCAATAGGTCTGCAGCAGTAACGCAGAGAAGAGACACCTTATTGTCTCTCGATGAGGGAAATAGAAGGACATGGCGGTGAAGTCGCTCTTAAGCCTGACTTGATCGTGGGCCCGTGTTAGTCAAACATGTGATGTGTTGCTGTGTGCTCCAACACGATGTGCTTTCACTCTCTATGTCCGTCCGTCTGAGGTGATTCAAAGAGCGCGTCATTGTCCACGCGTGTCACGCAGGGTTGTGGTAGTCATTTATTTTTGGCAGTCTACAGCGACACGTCGTTGGGTCAGAAGAGGAGCACACTTCCCAGACGCCAATCAGTAAAAGGTCTTTACATGAAAAACACACTTTATTTTGCAATGACAGACTGATATTTTGTGTTGTAGTGCGATTTGGGCCTTTTTTTAACAAACCATCTTCTTGAAGCCAAAGTAGCTCTCCGGCACCTCCTCATTTAGTGCAATACACTCATGTTGAGATCAGTTTAAACTGTATATCATTATTAGTAGTTGACACAATGACTATAGGGCTGGTTTGTCTAATGCTATTAAATATTATGTTGCGGGTTTCAACTGACATATTAAGGAAAACTATGGTCTCTATTTATGTGACAGCTTGTGTGAAGTAAAGTTTTTCAGTGATCAGGTTTATCATTATCTTTTGTATTAGAGGAAAAAGTGATGTTTACGATAGGATAAGTGGTGAAAGGGTTATTTTCTTAGTTTGAGGAGTAATGGGGATTATTATTGTGGTTGTGAGGCTCCAGTTGTGCAGTTTATTCTGAAAGTCTAACTTGACTTGTCTCACAGAGGTAAAATAATAATGGTTATAATAATAGTTCATGGGTTGTCAAAATGAACGTGTTAATCTATGCGATTAATGTGGCCGAGATTAATGCGATAAACTATATTAACGCAACTTTGTTTACTTTCGGTCTTCCGGCGTGCGGGAAGTAAACACAGTTGACCCCGGAAACGCCGCCGCCGCTAGCTGCAGTCTCACCACCAAGTTACATCGTCCTTGAATTCCAATATAAGTTCATAGATATAGAGTTCATAGATAAGGGCTACGAGGACAATGGTTCATTTGAAGAGTGTTATTAATTTATTTGTAGATTAATTTTCATGTTGTTTAATTAGTTCATATTATTTTGCGTTAATACGTTTTCTTTTGTTTGCATTTGTTAACATATATAAAAATACTCCGTTTCCTGACAGTCTCTGCGTCTCCTTCTATCCTTCTTGTGTTCCCACTTACAGAATACCAACTTCAGCTTTACTGATTAGTCAAATGTTCTCATGTGTAACAGAATTTCAGCTTCAATAACACTTCAATAACACTATTCATTGAAAACAGAACAAAAAATAACCTAAATTGAGCAACAAATAACCTTATAAATAGTATGTTTTAATAAACTGTGCCATCTAGTGGTGGTCTCGTGGCAACAGGTCAATCCTCTACAGTGGCAATAAGGAAAATAGGTTAAACTAAGTGAAGGTTAGAGACAAACAAAACAACATAATCAGCTGACAAAATCCCAATAAATTAAGATATTTTGAAAAATGAAACCCCACGGTGGTGTGGTGGTTGTCACTGTCGCCTCACGGCAAGAAGGTCCTGGGTTCTGGGTCCAACATTGAGACTACGAAGGACAATTTCTGCCGGGCAAAGAAGGCAAAGATCTGGCCTATGATCAGATGGTCTGCGAGCACAAAACAACGCTTTCAGATCACCACATCCAGAACCCGTATCCTATCGAGCAGAACACGTGTTTGGTTCTGAAGCTCACAGAGACAGAAGAACAACTCGCAAGTGCTGAACTCACGGTCAACAACCAGACGTGGCAGCAGAAATATGACGATCTGGAGGAAAAGAACAACAACAGTCCTTGGAGTCTAAAGCAACAGGTTACTCTCCACCAACATTTCTCCACAGCCGGCAGGAGGCCGACAACCAACAGTTGGAAGCAGAATACAAACTGCTGAAGATCAAGACAGAGGCTCTGGCTGCTTTACAAAAGATCCGACAAATGGAGGACATCATCCCCAAAGGAGATCAGATCACCAGGATCCAAGAAGCAGAGGACGACTAAACAGTCCTTGAGAACATCTGCCCAAGGTTATTATCGTTAACGAAAGCGAGGTGTGATTTTTTTTTCGTTAACTGAAATAAAAATAAAAACGAACCTATATAAAAAAACGATAACTAACTGAAACTGTGCCTTTACAAAACTAACTAAAATAAAACAGAATTATGGAGAAAATGTCTTTAGTTTTCGTCTTTGTCAATGCTATAGAGTTTTTATTGGGTTTTAGATTTTTTTCAGATTGAGCTCTCTGAGACTCCCGGCTGGCCTCTGGTTAATGACACAAACACACTGACTGACACATATTTCATAGTTGTCTTTTGTGGATGGCTGTCCATCTGTCCTAAATACATTTTTAAAAATGGTATGTTTTGTTGAGTTTTTATTACTTATTATAGCTTGTATCTACAATTCATTTTGAGCATTTAGTTTTGCAAGCAAAAAATGAAGCTTCCCTGACTGCGCCCCCCCCCCCTTGGTCTGTTACATTCTGCGGTAAAGACTAAAACTAATACTGAAACTAATAAAAACTAAACTAAAACTAAGCATTTTCCAAAAATAAAAACTAAAGCAAACCCACTTTAAAAACTAATTAAAACTAAACTGAAATTGAAAACAAAAAGTCAAAACTAAATAAAAATGTAGTGAAAAATAACCTTGCATCTGCCTCGACTTAAAAACAAGAAGAGAGGCATCGTGCGGAGACGGATGGAGCCGCTCCTCCAGATCCATAATCATGATGTTTTTAGACTCCAGCACAGACGGTGGCGGTAGAGGGCCAAATCGCCCAAGAAAACCCCCGCCGTTATTAACAATCGCATATTCAAACTGTCCCTCCACGGACTCCGTAGTCGCGGTGCTTGCTGGTCCTCTGCGCTCACCGCGCAGGAAGTAAATGTAAATATGTGTTCGCAGTGAGATAAAATAACTCTTTCCTCACCGTTGACTCAGCAACGCCGAAGCAACAGTCGCGATGTTCGCCTCGTTGTTGAGACTTAAAAGAGCCCGGCTGCTCTGCCCGGAAGTGCTCCTGGGAGCCCCGGAGGCGAGGAGCGCGGGGTCCAGTTCCCTCGGTCCCGGCTGTCCCTGCGGGCCGGCGGCGTGGAGGCGCAGCGTCACCGCGGCCGCGAGGGACGTCGCCACCTGCGCGCCGCTGTGCGCCAAAGTCCGCGCCAGCGCGCACAAGAGAGATCTGTCCGAGAAGAAGCTGGTGGGTGTCTGAGCTAAACTCAAATGTAGCATTATTTAACCCCATCTGGGGTACTTGCGGGGAATAACACTAGTAACGGTGCAGAAAGAGATCAGCGCACTACTTTCTGTCTTTATCCCTAAAGTTGCCTTCAACAAAATATATTTTTTACATGTCACGTGCACAATCCTGAACAAAAATTAAACTTTTATTAGACTTATTTATGTGCATCAAAAGTCAGGTAAATTGTCAATAAAGTGATGCTCAAAAGCGTCTCCTCTGGGTTTGATGTTTCTGATTTTATATACTCATTTCTCATAAGAATGTACCGCTGACATACCAGCTGGTAATAATCATTTGCTGAGTCCTTCTGTGTGCATTCGGCCAACGGTCTGGTTTCTCTTTCCCGATCGGGCTGGTAGACGCGTCACTTCGTGGACCACCGCCGCGTGAAGCTGCAGGCCGGCTCGGGCGGCAAAGGGGCGTCCAGCTTCCACAGCGAGCCGCGCAAAGAGTGGGGAGGACCCGACGGAGGGGACGGAGGAGACGGAGGGAGCATCCTCTTCAGAGGTAACCGGGTCCGGGTTCTGCAAGTCGTCGCGAACCTTCAACATTGAGGCTTCTCCTTTTGCCGGAGCTCGTTCTTCGTTTGCCATCAGCTCAAAACTTGCTGCCCTCATTCACTCCTTTCTTATTATTATTATTATTTTTTATACTGACTTTCAGCGAACAAGTTTGTCAAGTCGTTGGCGCAGCTGCTTCCGGTTTACAGGGGAGAAAACGGTCAGTCGGGGGGCAACAAGAACTGTTACGGCAAGAACGGCGTCCCCACTTGTATTTCTGTGAGTCCATGAATTTGATGTGACGGTCATTTCTGAGAGTTTTGTGCATGTTTCTACCGTAAAGCTGACTTTGGTGCTTGTTTGTTCTACAAAGGTGCCTCTAGGCACCGTTGTGAAGGAACACGGGGAGATCGTAGTGGACCTCGCCGAACACGGCCAGGAGTACCTGGCCGTGTTCGGCGGTGCCGGTGGGAAGGGGAACCGCTTCTTCCTTTCCAACGAGAACCGCGCCCCCATGACGGCGACCCCGGGGGCGGCGGGCCAGGAGAGGGTCCTCCAGCTGGAGCTCCGCACCATGGCCCACGCCGGACTGGTGGGGAAACACGCGCTCGGCACAGAAATGGCCGCATCGGCATGCAGCTTTTTACGACTCACGGGAAATGAGCTGATTTGAGTTCTCCAACGCTTCTGGTCAGGTGGGGTTCCCTAATGCCGGGAAGTCGTCGTTGCTGAGGGCCATCTCCAACGCTCGGCCCGCTGTGGCGGCTTACCCTTTCACCACGCTCAACCCGCATGTGGGCATCGTGAACTACAGGGACCACGAGCAAATCGCAGGTAGGACCGTTGGTATCAGACAGTTTGTGTGTTGCAGCTGCAGCTTTTATTCCAGAGTTCTACAAACGCTCCTCTTTTCCCTCTGCTGTGCGTAGTGGCCGACATCCCGGGCCTCATTCGAGGGGCCCACCTCAATCGAGGCCTCGGCATCTCCTTTCTGCGGCACATCGAGCGCTGTCCTTTCCTCCTCTACGTCTTGGACCTTTCCGCTCCGGAGCCGTGGACGCAGCTGGAGCACTTGCGTTACGAACTGGACCAGTACGAGCCCGGCCTCTCGCAGCGGCCGCGGGCCATCGTGGCCAACAAAATGGACCTACCCGAGGCCCGGGAGAAGGTGGAGACGCTGAAGAGCCTCGTCAGCGAGCGGGTCATCCCCGTGTCGGCCCTCACGGGACAGAACGTGGAGGAGCTCATCCTCCACCTCAGGGAGCTTTATGACGGCTACCTCTGTGGAGAAGGCAAACCCTCCAGGTGGTAGTGGACACGAGCTCCACTCGCTCAACTGATTTTTATTGTTTCTATTTATTCTGCTCAATAAAATACTGAAAACCGGACATGTGTTGAGAATTCTAAATGTTGGGATTGACAAATGCCCTTGTAGGTTATTGCAAAATGAATAGGTTATGCAAATTCAGCCAATGGAAGGATATTTGTGTGCATGAAGATGGTTGTCGAGGGAAATAGAGTTTGTTAGACGGGAGGGCAACCACATCGTTTACACCAGCGATTCCCAAAGTGTGGGCCGCGGCCCACTGGTGTTCCGCGAGGGTACTGCAGGTGGGCCGCGAGAGGTGATTTACAATAAATAAATAAACAAAATGTTTTTTAATTTTCAATTTTGAAAAGTTTGAAATTAATATGAAAATATTTATATTATTTGAACAATTCTAGCGGCACATTAGTTGATGAAGCACAAACAATTTAAACGAACAGATTAATAAACAATAAGGCTCTCGCTCGAAACGGCTGCTCTTGTCCGCCTGTCGTTATTCAACAAAACAATGTCAATGGGGCCCCTCTTGTAGTATTAAAGTAAATATATATGAGCTGAGAAAAGGGTATACAAAACATACGTTGTCGGTTAATACATTTTTAATCGGTTAAATTCTTAAGGTCATATAATCAGTTCATGTTTTGATCACAGTTGCGATTAAAGGTTCGGGTGGGCCGCAAAAGATTTTTAGATTTCAAATTGGGCGGCGGCATTCTTGAGTTTGGGAGCCGCTGGTTTACACCATTTGTTAATCTACAATTATAAGTTGCAATTCCTAAACGAGCCAGCAGAGTGCGTCCGTCTCACCTAGTTTGTCCTCCGCGTGGCCCTTCATTTAAACTAACTAAAACAGAAGCAACAGTTCTGGTTCGTTTAAGGGCAAACCGCAAATGCTGAATGTGCAAAATGCATTTCTTATGTGTTGGAAATCTTCCAACGCCACATCTGCATGCAAATTCAGTTTCCTTTATTTGGTCCTATGTCAAACAAATTCACAAACGATATCGTTCTTAGGACTGAAAATAGTAAACAATAGACTCAAAGTACTTCAACTTTTAATGGTTGACCATGACACTCTGATTAGGAGTCAGATTTCCCACTAAGGAGTGATTGCTTCACCTTTGACTACAGTCAACAACAGATCATAGGTCACTTCTGCCAAATTACAAACACATCCGTGTGATTGTGCTTTATTTTGATCGCACACAGTGTTTTATTGTCATCATGACGCTGTAACGCCGCAGACGGGCATATAAACACTGGGCAAAGTACTCCAAACCCTCTTCCAGTAAAGTTCTGACAGGACGACACGCACACACCTGCACACACACATTAAATAATGCACTTGCTGGCATTAAGGCCGAGCAACAAACCCTTTTAACTAATACAGAATTTCTTAAAAGTGGACCCACATAGAAGCTCATTCGTGTGCACACACGCACAAACACACGGGCAGAAAAAAACTGGCTCGACAAGCTCTGGCTGGCTGCCTTTACCGTGGAAATATGATGAGGTTCTTTATCTTTATCATCAGTGTTCATCGTTCTTACTTCCTTGGAAGGGCTTTATTTACCCGCTGACACACCCGCACGCAGTGATTGCCCGCCCCAACCGCCGCCCCGCAGACACACACCCAGCTTCCCATCCGGGGCCGATGTTCGCCCTGCTCTAAATGCTGCAGAGAAAAGACACACGTGGTGAAATGTTTGTCTGCTTCGTGGCAGTCCGACCGAACAACAAGCAAATGTTGCAAAAAAAAAAAAGCCTTTCACGCGACACAACAATTGAAGAACAACATGATGCTTTCTTTACTACTAGAGCCCACAGAAAATGTACCGAAGATAAACTAATCCATGAGAACTGAGTCACCAGAGAGATTACTCTAACAGCACCGCAGAGCGAGTTGAACATTTAGGACTGATAACCGGCCCACAGTTAGTTCACAATGCGTTGTTGGGAAGCAGTTTTAGCCCCGGAGACATCTCCATGCAGACTGACGCCAGGTCATTGAACTTGGAGTCCAGCTCCAGGTCCAAGTCCGGCCCGGAGGAAGCGTCACAGATGGAGATGGCGTCGAGCTGGGAGCCGGCGCCTGCGTCGTCTCCCTCCTCGGCGTACACGCAAGGAGCGTAATCACCCAGCTCCTCTCCCGGGTGCTCGAGGGCGGCGAGCCTCTTCACGGTGCACAGCGAGAGAAGAAGAGGATGAGTTTCATGAAAGTCCCGCCCTTAAGCGTTTGGAGGATTGATTGGACTCTCATGGTTACCTGCTTTAGTTTTCCACTCAGCACCACGGCGTTGATCCGCACAGAATTCTGATTTGTAGAATATCTTTTGCCTCCACCCCAAGTCCGGTTATTCTGAAGCAGATACAGATTCAACTTTAAGTGTCACAGGTGATGTGGAGAAGTGAAACAACAGAAAAGGGTTCGTAGCGGTGTACAAACCCAACGGCTATCTGTGTTTCTGTGCTGACTGCTGTTCATGGTTGACGATGCTCCGCTTCCCTGCAAAAACAGACAAGGTGGAATTGAAGGAACTGCAAATGTCACAGCTCATTAGCACTTTTGGAAATCTGCATCTTTGAACTTGGGCACGTCAAGGAGAATAATATCAATAACAAAAGGAATCATTTCTGTACACATTTTCACGCCTAGTTTGTTTCCTGTGTGGTGTTCATTGTTAAATGGGAAAAACAGCATGTCAAGCAGAGGCAACACGTCACTTTTAAACATTATGTTTGCAATTTATTCCAGATTATTCTAGCTACCAACAAATCTAACGGAAAGACCAAAGTCACAAATTAATTCATTCCTAAAAAAAATTTGGGAACCTTTACAAATATTATGTTTTATTAAAAAGTAGGCAAAATAGTTGCATGAATAAATAGTAGATATTAAAGACAACAGCAGCAAGGTGTCTGTCTTTAAAATAGAGAACTCATGTTCATTGTTTTTAGGGAACATGTCACCTAAAATATAATGAATTCACATACCCAATTCCAAGCGTAATGCTGGTCTACGGAATTGGCACTTTGGTGCATTCCTTCCCACACCCCAGCATTCTTGTTTGTTGGTATAGACTGAAAAAAAAATAAATTCAAATCAAGAGCACACATTAGTAATAGAAAAACAATAAAATCAGTATTTCGATATCCGTAGCAGTTACTTACAGCCTGTTTCTCTGGGATTTGCACCCAATTTGGCCATGCAACCTGTTAAATAATGAATGACTTATGATTTACAACAAGTCACACTTACATTTATCATTTACAAACATATAAGCAAAAATATAAGAAAAATGTAAAGATATAAAAAAAAGACCTATAAGAGCAATAAAAGTATTTACCGTGCAGTCAGATCCCGGTTTCTCAGTGTTGCTGCGCATTAGAACTTGTTCTGCGGGATCATACGGGAGTGGAAAGCTCTTTTTCTCACATGTCACCAGCAGAGACAAAAGCAGCAAACCTGGAAGAAAAAAAATACAACTTAAAAAAACAACACAAAAAAGAACTCTGGGATATTTCCCAATCACGGAGCCTGGTCCTACCCGCAAGCAGCAGTATGCATAAAAAAACAACCGCGAGGGCCCCCACTCCTACTGCGGAGCTGGCGGCTCGCCGCTGGCGACAGTTGGGCGTCGCAGTCGCGTCCTCGCAGGTGCACACGGTAACCGACAGGTTGTGCGAGGCCTTCACGCCCTGGAGGTCGAACACGTCCAGCAGCAACTCGTATTCTCCCGAAGGAACCGTGGGCTCCTTCACCAGGTGGACCGAGTACCCTGTCCATGAAAAGACACACGTTCACGCCATCACCGGTTCTCGGTTTGCGGGGGGGGGGGGCCGCGCTCGTGTGGAGTCTCACCTTGCGTGGCGTCGAGCTTCCACCCGGCCGTCTCCGTCCCCTTCAGCTGGAAGGTGAACGGTCCACCGTAGGGCGGCGCGTCCGGGTCCAGGCCCGTGATGTTGGCCAGTGAGCGTCCGTCCGACTGGCACATGTCCATGGCGCTCACAGCCAGGGACGGGGCGTTGTCGTTTTGGTCCAAAATCTGGATGTTCAGGGTCGCGGTGCCCGTCATTGGAGGCCGACCTGGTGACCGAAAAACACACGTTGTGCGCGCGGGGTGAACGTGGTGAGGACGTTGTAACGTGGTGAGCAAAGGGTGTAAACACTCGCAGTTCTTACCGTTGTCGACGGCGTACAGTGTGACAGTGTACACGCCGTCTTTCACAAAGGTCGACTCCCGGTCCAAGGCCTTGGTAGTGGTGATTTTCCCAGTCTGGGGGTCCACTTCGACCCAATCAGCCGGGTCGTCTCCCTTTTTGTAACTGAAACACACTCGTGTGGCGTGAGACAAACGTTTTCTGCTAACGTGGAACATTGTTTGTTCTGCGACACGCGACTCACACAATCGTGTTGCCGCTGGCGACGTCGGGGTCCACGGCTGTGAAGGTCTCCAGGTGCTTCCCGGCCTCGGCGTTCTCGGCCATCGCCACTACTTTTTGCGGCGGTTTGAAGGCCGGAGGCTCGTTGACGTCCTCCACGATCACTGTCACCTGCACGCCGGACGTGCCGAGCGTCTCGGGCGCGGCGCCCCCCGTGGTCACCTTCCAGAGGCCGATGGCGCTGCGCTCCACCACCTTGCACGAGGCAAAGGGGATCTCGTTCTCCACGCTGATGGTCAAGTTCTTCACGCCGCCGTCTTCGTAGTCCATCGCCTGACGCAGAGATGAAAGGGAACTCATAAAGTTCACCACCGTTGAGCTTCAGTTGCTGCATTTTAACAAAACACACATGGACAAAATACCTTGTTCACAAACAAAAGCCCTTCGTTTGTTTTGGGATCGGTAGAGATTCTGAAGTGGTTGTTCGCGTCTCCGTGGATTCGGAACTTGGCTCTCCAGGCCTCCGTGCCTCTGGTGTCGGAGTCCGTAACTTGCAGACTTTTGATGAGAACATTTTCTTCTCCTTCTCTCACCCTGCCTAGACCCTGGAATAAAAAGCATATTTTTAATAATAAAGAGAGAAAGTCCAATCACGGCCTTGATGCTGAATAAGTACTCGCTCACTGTCTGTCCAGTTATCACAGGGAGATGGTTATTTCCATCTTCTACATGGATCACAACGGTGGAGGAGCTGGAGAGCTGCGGTCCCGCTCCTTGGCCTCGGGCCTCAACTATAATGGTGTATTTCTCTGCTTTCTGGCCGGGGAGAAAAAAGAAAATACAACCAAATGCAACCGCTTAGACTTTATTATTCGAATTGAAGGCGATAGAAGTTCTGTGGTGAAGAGATTTTGATGTAGTCGATTGGGTGTCGTCTTACCTCATGGTCCAGACACCCTTTAAATGAAATGGTTCCAGTTTGATACCTCTTGGTGATGTAGAACTCCAGATCGGATGGTTGAGGATGAACGGAGACTATTTTGAAATCAAATAACTGATACTTCTCCGTTATGTCCTTGTCAGTTACCGTGAGGAGCATCAGTTCACTGCCTGTTGGTGTCGGGAGGGGAGTTGTTTTACCTCATTATCATCGTTCCATCACATTTGCCGTGAAGATTAGGATTAGAAAAAGCAGGTCACCTTGTGACGTGGCCTCCTTTGTGCTGACCTCGTACCGGTCGCGGTCAAACTTGGGAGGGTTGTCATTGGCGTCGATGATCAGAATCTCAACGCCCAGCTCCGTGTCTATGACGTGACTTTCTCTGTCGAAAGCCCTGAACTTTACCTGTGAGGAAGATGTGAGAGCTGTGAAATAATTGAAACTGTTCTTCACACACACAGACACAGACACACACACACACACGCACACACAGGTCAAATGATAATAACCATTAAAGATTTGTCAATCTCATAGTCGACGGGGCGGTGGACCGTAATCACGCCTGTGTTTCTGTCGATCCTCAACACGTCCCGGGGTTCTGCCTCAACGCCTGGACCGCTTATTTCGAAATAGATGAGGGTCTTTTCAATTTTGATCTGTGGGGAGCAAAAAGAGAAAAGCAGCAGACTGAGTAACGATTTGTCTGCATGTGGTCACGCGTGGCCCATTGCAGAGGGACTCTCACTTGGTCCAGGACGTATGGGAACGGCCCTTTGTAGCCTTCGTCGATACTGTAGGAATTGATGATCCACCTTCTTTTTTGCCGCTTCAAAATTCCGGAAGATGAACTTTGCAGAAAGTTGGCTCCCAAACACTGTGGAAACAACACGAGCCACGTAGGATTGGGTACCTTTAGGATGTTTTTGCTTGTGTATTCATTTACAAATACACTTGAAAATCATTGGCTTTTAAACTTAAGACAGTAAAAATATATTATCTAAAATCTCTAGTGTTGACAGATAGCATGAATTCTTACCAGCACCAGGAAGAGACACAGGTGTATTGTCGACATGGTTACTCCAGATTGTGTGTTTTTACGGGCGCTAGTTTCCCCGTTGATAGATAGCGCTCGGCTGAACCTCAGTGAAAGTTCAACTGCATGCCAACGCAGGCTGCAGGTACCTGAGGGTAGCTTGTGTCCTCACAAATCTCACTGCAACTTTTATAGGTTCATCCCGGAGCGGCTGGGTGTGACCAAAGCACAGTGTGGGTGGACCTGTGGGTGAACAGTTTCGCTGCATGTTTACACAAAGCAAAAACTACATTCATGTGGCCCATTTTACTCCATAAGGCAAACCTTCATCGCAAAAAGGCAAACAGGACACAGCCGTAAACCTCACTTTGTCTTTGTGAAAATAAATAAGAGGAATTTATAATAGTTTGTACTCCGAAAATACAAACTCAGGCCCGCCACCCCTCTTTGACTGGCCGCCCCAGCCCCTCTGCCCCCGACTAACCGGCCCAATGAGGCAATCCCCAAAAGGTCGTCATGGCACAACGTTCAGTTCACTTCCGATTGACTCACTTGTTGCGATGTTGCCTGAGGCGAAGTCGGTGCTGACAGTGTTGGCAAGTTGCTTAAGACTTTTTTTCCCCTCTGTGCCGAAAAGACGGTCACTCTCTCTCTCTTCGGAGCCTTTACCGTCTTCTAAGCTAAGCGCTGTCTTGCTCTCTTTCCCTCGCACATATTAATATATATATAAATAGGCATGTAAAGTTGCCGAAAAGTCATGGGAATGTATTGGGTAAAATGTGTATGAACCCTGAATATGGTGCTTCTTGTGTTCAATCTGTCATCCCTCCATGCCGGGGCTCCAGAAGGCCCCCTGAAGTGAGGAGAGGAGATGCATCAACAAGTGCAAATCCAGCTCACCTACATATACTACTGATTTTGATTCCCATTATTCTGTATTATGGTTGTGCTTTAGTTTTGAGCCTACTGCTCATTTCATTTTCACCTTGACCTAAGAAATGTTTACTGAACATGCTCACGGGGACAGGCATGAGAGCTGGCTAGTCATTCTATTATTCATGTTATTATAATTTCAATGTTTTTTTAAATTTATTTATTTATTTTATAGGCCTATTTATTTGACCTTTTTTAAGTGCTGCACACAATTATTATTCATATTATTATTAATATCAACAGGCCTACCTATAATTTATCATCTTTCACTCACCTTTGCCAGTGTCAATCACCTCAACTATGCAGATGTTTCTTACCTTGACAGCTTTTTATTTGAAAATAAATAAATGCAATATCTGTGATATTTCAAATTAAAACAAAGTGTGAAGACTTGATTACTACTTTTGCAAACCGCTAATAAAGATAAACAAGTATGTGCCAGGAATCAAGTGTTGATATAGTAGTGGGGTGGCTGTGCCAGGCTAGTTAACTCTACTACACAATGAGGCCTGCTGGTGGTCATTTTGATCATACAATTCTACGTTATCTAGCTGACCCGGTCCCGGCCCCCCATCATAGTCAGGAACGATAATGTGGCCCCCAGAGAAAAAAGTTTGGTGACATCTGGTTTACAGCCTTAGGAAAGGGTTTTGTCTCCGTCGCTAAACTTCCCGTTTCGAATACCTCTGCAGAGAGTGAGAGTAACTTCCGTTAATTCCATTCACTGAAAACCTTGGCAGCGTGTTTGTGGTTTTGTTTCCTTTTGGACAATTCTTGGGGCGTATTTGGGGCAAACAATAAGACTCGCTGTGCTCGTGCGCTGGTCAGTGTGTGGAAGCTGGCTCAGGATTCTGGCAAGAAGCGAGGATGAGGCGTGTTCATTATTGCGAATAAGGGAAGGAGCTGAGGATATTTGCTCTGTACTATTTCCCGCAACAAATTATTTTGTCTCATTTACACGTCGGCACCAAATGGCCAGACTGCAGGGTTAATTTGAACTTGTTAGCAACATCCTTAGCAAGTTTGAGGTAACTTTCCTTTTTGCCATGTGAAATGTAAGAGAAAGGCGTTTACCCCGCAGCCTTCTTTCCCTAGAAAAATGACTACAGCGATTTTGTAACAACACCCTGTAGATCTGCCTCATACATACAAAAGAAATTTGAGAGTATTTCTTTCCTTCCTTCAAAGGTTCCTTTGAATTACTTGTACGCCTCCTTAGGTCTTTCAGTTTCAGTCTTTATAATGCATTTTGTTGTTTGGCGCTAGCTTATATTTTGTATGCTGCTGCTGCGATGTCTTATGGTGTTTTTCATTCAGCTTTGCTACAGGGAATGTTTTCCAAAAATTTTGTTTAGTTAAAGGAATGTCCTTTAGTCCCTGAGGTACCGCAGTAAATAAGCTATACCTTGACTTCATCCTGCAGCACTATTTAGTGCATACATGTACATCAAAAAGTCAAAAAACAGGTTCTGCCACACCCCCTGAAAGCTCAAACAGAGTTCACAAGAACTTTCAGTCAAAATGAAACTTATTATTACAAGACTGTTTTTGGTTGCTAAACAACCATCGTGTAGATTTGATCTAGAACCAACACCCTGTGGTCGGTGTTAACATTTGGATGGATGAAAAAACAAGCCAACTCAATAACCTTCTAATGAGACATTTCTGCTGCCAACACTCCTTAAATCAGGTCATGCATGGCTACCAGTTAACCTCTCACCGCACCCGAGAGAGGAAAATAGTTCGGTTAAAGATGTAGCTTCTGCAACTTAAAATAAATACAATCAAATACAGAAAAAAATGCCATTTAAAAAAAAGTAAACCTGCATAAAACCCTCCCAAATAAATAGATATTTACTTGTACATTTTGAGCTTGTTTGAGCAACTTTAGCGTACCTCTATAAAGAGGCCTATTGACTTTTGTGTGTAAAGACACTACTTAATTACTGCTTAGTTCTAGTGCACAGGGCTCCACTAAAGCTCATTGAGCCAAATAAATCCTAATTGAGTTCTTACATTTCCTTGTTTCTGCCAGCATCAGGATTCACATCATTCATATCAACAGAGGTAGAGTAAATATAAAAAAACACAGCAAAGCACGTACGTGTGTAAAGGTGTACACACGGGATTGTATACAGTCGTGTATCATCTTTACAGCTGTATTTAAACAGAAACATTTTTTTTAAATGACAAAAATGTTTTCTTACGCAACTCAGGTGCATTAAAACAAATGTGGAGGCGCTCCCTTGGGGATTTAAGAGGTTTTACGTTTCTACAAAACACACTTATCAGAGCAACTTGGTTAAACATTTTTATTTTCATGCAACCCGAATGTTACACATAACTTCCATAAGTAAAAACCCAATTATATTCCGAATGACGAAAATTACCGGAAAAAAAAGAAATGGAAAGTAACAACTGTCGACGGCGAGGTAGCTCCGCCCTAAATCGTTCCCTATTTCCATCTGGAATGTACTATTATTTACTGTTTAGCAACCAGAGGAGTTTCCCACTCATGGACATTAGACAGAAGGCAGGTTCAAACACTTCTGCTTTGGCTTCACTTTTCTGACCCTGAGGTTGACGCCTCAATTATTTACCCAAGGAAATCAACATTAACGTTTTTCATTAGTGGCAATTTGTTTTTGAAGTCTCAGTGGTCCACGACACAGAAACGACACAAAAGTTTGGTTTGAACTTTGGTCAATATGCATAAGATATCAGATGAAAGACACAATAAAACAAAGACAGAATTGGACTATGTTCTTTCTTTGTACATAGTTCAGCCAAAACTTCTTCCCAGTGTATCAGATCATTAACCCGGGCCACAAAGGCTCCTTGTGTAGTAGGAACAATACCACGGATCAGGACGATATCAACAGATTTAAGCTGGTCCTGGTCAATAAAAAGCTTTTCTAATACACCATGAAATACTCCACTTTCCACAGATCCACATCCAGTATAAAACATAAAAGAACCCCCCCCCTGACACAACTCCATTCACACTCGCCTACAATCACTCCCAAAGCAGCAAAGTAAAAAAACAAGCAAACACACCCAGTTGCTGTCAAAACCCGACCTTTCAAAGCCACCCATGCACGACAGTTTGTTCAGTGCCCTAATTCCATCTTCAAGCTTTCGAAATACAGCGTTTGTGACGTTGTGATGATTTCTGGGAATAATGCCAATACACATTATCTGACTCATGTGTGAAAATGTGTTTCCAGTCCAAAAGCAACCGTGTGTACTTCGTTTCCCCAAAGATCTGGTCAGGCCAGTGCATGATAATTCCAGTCCAGCGATGGCCTTTAAAGCTGTATGTTTCTTTCTTTAACTGTCTGGTGACAGACGTCTGCGAGGTTCTTGAACCTTGATCCCAAGTCATCCAGAAACGTCAAATCATCCCCCAGGTCGACGAGTGACAGCTCGTCCAGCGACTCGGCTCTGCTCCCCTGTCCCTCGTAGGCGTACTCGTGGGGTTGGTTCACTGACTGCTGTGTGTGGTTTCTATTAATCTCATCCATTCTCTGCAGGATTGACAAACCATACAAAGATGTCATGGTCATGTTGTCAAAAACGTACATGTATAAAATACATATATTAACGCATTGAGTAAGGAAGTTGGGTCTTATATCTGTGGGCCGGAGACCTGTGAACAACGTGGGCAGTGGGCCTGAGCACCAGATTCCCTTTATAAAACCACTCGTTTTAGGGCCGTGCCTGTTTTCCTGCACAGCCCTGGTCCTTACCCTGGCGATGTGGTCTGAGATGTGATGACTCGATACAAGGCTCACCGAGCGTTTGTATCTTGAGGAGCCGCCCTGTTCAAAGAGAGGAGGATTCTTAAAATACTGCGCATTCGAAACGGTTGACAGTGAGAGTCAAAGATGTTTGTATTTTACATACTACCTTAAATGAAACTATTGAGCTGCACTATTTACCTGATGGCTGTTCATCCGGTTGGACTCCCATGTAGAGTACTGAAATTAAAGAAATGGACAGATTCAGTCTTTGCCACCCTCAGTTGAGTTCATTGTCACTGAATTTGTGGATTGAAAATAAATAAGTAACTGGAACATTGGTCAGTGTTATATATTAAACTGCTGTATTTGCACATAACAATGAATCAATATTAGCCACGTTTTATTGAGTAGTAGTATTGAAGTAAACACAGTGTATCCTAAAAGAATCCGCTATGGTTCTTTTAGAAACGATTCCTGCTTTAAAGCAAATGTGGGAGGGCCCCCTAGTGGGTTAAAGGAGGTTGCGTGCAGACTTTCAACAAAACACGGTTGGGTCATTCTCGAAAAAAATTGCTGTCATTCATCACTTCAGACACCAAAATCCTTCACGTTAACTTAAAAACGGCATAATGATATATGTACAATTAGTAAAGACAGTCCTTGGCATGATTAAACTAAGTTTATTCATCCAATATTCAATGTTACATTTTGGAAAGGTATTTAAAGAACAAAGATCTAGGAATTGCTTTGTCACTTTTGTCTTTCATGGAAGTCGAGCCCTTTTTTATTAAAAAAAAAAAACATTCATTAATTTTTTTTATTATTAATTTACTAATTTATTGTTACATTGAAAATTACAAATATTAAATATAACATCCACATGGTTAAAATAAACCGTGTTAAATACCTAATTATTATAAAATTATGAAATTACTACCAATCACACAGAATGATGTCATTGGTGTGATTGTGACACAAAATACTTTTATTTTGAAATACTGCACTGACTCTTTGAGATTCTTCCTGAATCAAGAGGTCGTTTAAGGAAGTGCAGTGGACATAGCTACATGGTAAGTCATATGTCTTACTTTATTCCTTCAAAACACACCATGATATACGGGAGAATTTTGAATGAAGCTTTTAAGCCTGCCATTGGTGTCTCTTGGTCGCAAGGTCCAAAATTGAACATTAAAACTGATTTATATTGAACAGTTTAATGGTTTTGATTTTCCATAAAACATATGATCTGACACATGGGAGCCATTTTGTAAAAAAAAAAAGAAATGTTTTTTTTTGTTATTGGTGTTACAGTCACTGGTGTTACTCCTCCTCCTGGTAACACCAGTGGCAAGACTGACTGTTTTTAAAGCGTCACTGTTAATTTCCAATTTCGTTTGTCTACGGTGGCTAGCCCTAGTCCTTTAGTTGTTTTTAATAAATAGTTTGAAACATGTATGGAAATTATATTAAAAATGCTGACTTCAAGAATGTGATTGATGTTTTATTGGGTCACTGGTGTTAAATTTTTTCAGTGATGTGATACTATAGATGTATTTTTTTCACATTTCAAGCCATTTTTTATGTATTGATTGGTGATACTATAGTACATTCATATTTTTTAGATCTCACAATTTTTTTATTGTTAGTTTGGCAGAAATAAATGATGTGGTAAAACAAATTAATCCTTACAATGTTGGAAGAATTCCTTATTAAAAAATGTAATTAATAAAATATTTTTTCTTGGTCTCAGAGTTCCATTACTCTACCTTAAGCAACATTTTCAAGTTGTTGTGACAAAAGCAATTTTTCTGACCATTTAATGTTGTTTACATTAGAAGTGACACCAATGACAAGAATCCCGCTAATGAATTATTCAATAAAATATATAAAAATAATAAAAAATACACTAAGCTCGCCTTTTTGTGGATTCATTAAGTTTAGAAGTTGGTTAATAGATAAAAAGAAGTTTTTGGTATGAACGGAGAAATACATTTCAGAATATTTGTGCTACTTAAACTCCACCTTTTCTGCAGAATGACCAGTTTGTCAGAGTAACCTGATAAAACCTCCGTAAAGAAAAACCTTGGTAATCACTGTCTCACCATGCTCTGCCTGCGTTGGCTCCTGAACGTGCCTGTTCGGCGCTGCATGCTCTGCAAGGTCATGTTGGAGTTCTGTAGTAAACATACAGTCCGGTTAGGACAGCGACAGGTCCTGAACAATACCAACGTCACACCGCACCTGGCTTTTAATCATTGTGATTAATCATCTTGTGCATTTACAAACAACACAAAGGAGTCTATTTACAGGCCTGTTACTCACCACGGTGAACGCTGCGCTGTTGTAAAAGTAAGCGTCCTGGGCCGTTGGACGAGCCTTCTGGGCCGAGAGTTAAGCACCGCAGGAAGAACAAAGCAACAGAGAGTTGGCAGAGGTGAAGAAAAATAGTAAAAACATTTTGTTTTTGAGTGCTCAATTTGAGAACTCTCTAGCTCAACGCTTGGAAAAGAAAACTCAGAGGTTCATGAAACATTTACAGACACTTTCAAACTTGCATGATGCTTTGTGGTTGTGCATTCTGTGCATTAAAAACAGGTCCGGTAATCCCATTTTGTTAGCAGCCCTGACAATCCGAGACGCCTTCTTTGAATCAGGTCGTTGTACTTAAGGTCTCTGCTCTGCAAAATTGTGCAAGACCCGTAACGTGTGCCATAAATGTGTCACATACCTGTCTATCTGCTGTCACTTCAGTTAAACGATCAAAGTAACTGTATTATAGCTGTCGTTGACCTTTCAGGAGGATTAGGAGCTGCATTCTTTAAACCACCGCCCGTTTTTTTTTAAAAAGTTGTTCGTTTTTTACTATTCAGTCCCAACTTTTGACACAAGCTGTGACTTGCACACAAGACACCTGTGAAAATGTATGTTGGAGGAGTACCTGCGCGTTTCCCATTTTAGTCACAACCGTGTGGTTTCTGGGAGTCGGGAGCACCGTGGGTTCACTCTGCAGAGAAGTCACAGTGAGAATAAATAGATTGATGCGTGTGACTGGTTTAGTAGCATACTGTAGTTTGCCCACAACCCACCGTGGATGCTGACCCCCCTCCCTCTTGGTTGTACTTGATGAGGGTCTGGTTGCCCTCATCCTCCACCATGGGCATGTGATGGTTCTTTTCCCTACACCGACACTTGCAGAGGAGGAGCAGCACTGGAGACACACATCAGAAGAGTGTTAAAAAACGTGGACACACTGGTTCTTGAGCCAAGTGTCATGTTGAGCTAAATGAAGAGCTGAGACAAAGCCGGAGGGTGGAGCTGCTTGGAGGCCAGCAGTAGAGATTGTGGTTGTGTTGAAGAGCCTTTAGGTGTGAGTGTGTGTACATTTTGTAAAAAAAAAAAACTTTCAAGGTTCTTGATGGGCTCGTACCCGAGCGTAGTTACATTCACACCTACACCAGAGCAGAATCTTAAAATATTATATATTTATAATATACACATACATATATATGTCTGTACAGGTTAAATTAAGGTGTGTTAAATCTACAATCTATCTTGATTTTATACATTTTGCCACTGATTTCCATACTCACACAACAATAAGAAGAGTCCCAGGAGGAGGAAACCAATGCCCGCCGCCCCTAAGCTGGATGAAGACGACTTTCTGCTGAGGCAAACGTCTCCGTCTCCACAGTCACACACCACCACCTGCACCGTGTGACGTCCCACCGAGTTCTGCTGGTCCTGAATGACCAGGGGCACCGAGTAGTTATCGAACGGAAGCGCCCTCAGGCCAACGAGGCCGCCTTCGTAACCTGGAGGTGTGAAGAGAGGTGTGAAGTATCGCATTTCAGCATGTGATTATTTCAGTAAGCAGGGTTTGCAGACATGCACTGACCAACGGAAGGGTCTAGTTTCCATCGCTCCATCAGAGCTTTGTCGTCACTCCCGAAGGAGAAAGTGAACGGGCCACTGAAAGGATTGGCATCGGGGTCCCTGGCAGGAACCATGACCTTGTTGACGTGGTTCCCACACATAATCACGCTCTTGTTGGCCAGGCTTGGCTCGTTGTCATTGATGTCCCCTAGGTGGATCAGAACAGTGCAGGTACCTGTTTGTGGAGGCTCACCTAGGAAAAACAACACATTGTTAAGAATGCACCGTCCGTCTTGTATTTGATTAGAATAAACAGAGAGGGCTCCTTTGTACCATTATCTATGGATCCGATGACGATTTTGTAAATTCCATCATCATTCACAAAGGGCGACTCCCTGTCCATCTTCTTGGCCGTTGTGATTTTTCCAGTTTTGTTATCTATGGTCACCCAACCCGCTGGATCTTCTAACAGCACATGCCTGATCATTCGCATGGGAAAGTGGAAGGGGGGGGGGGGCAGAACATATTATCTAAAAGCATTCAATTGAAGCTCATAAAAACTTGTAGAGGTACCACCAGTCGAGTCATTTGAGTTACACCGTAATTTCTCAGCATAATTCTGCATGTGGACACCAACCTGATTTTGGATACATCGGAGTCAGAGTCCAAAACCTTCGGAGTGAACAGCACCTGTCCCGGCCCCTCCTCCTCTCTCTGGTACACGTCAAATGAATCTTTCTCATAGAACGGTGGGTCGTTGACGTCGATCACTTTGATGGTGATGTTGGCACTGTCCGGAGAGGGAGGTGGGCCAGCCGGCGATTGGCTTTTACAAACAAACAACGGCTCCTCGTTCTTGACTCCGACCACCAGGTAAGCGTAACTTGTCCTCTCAAAGTCCTTTCCCTAAAAAGAAACACACCGGTTTAGGTTGATTTGTGTACTTTTAGCTTGACCTGCTCTCGACCAATGAAGCAGAATTACCTTGATGACACTCAGGATACCCTCATTAGTGACAGGGTCGGTTTCAAGTTTGTAGTTTCCCTCCTCGTTTCCTTTCATGAAGAAGTATATGGCGCGCCAGCCGGGAGTCATCGGAGTGTCTTGGTCGTCCACCGCAATTCTCAAAATATCGTCCTTGGTAATCGATTCTTGCACCTCAGCTTGATACTGGACAGACGGAACAGTTTCATATTTAACATCAATTCTAAAAAATAAAAAAGCAAGTAATTACTCAATAATAAAAGAATGAGTGCCTTCTTCTCCCTGAAGGTCGGCAGATGACTGTTTTTGTCGACGACGTTGAGAGTAACGAGAGCCGTGGAGGAGAGCGACGGCTTTCCGTGATCGCGCGCTTCAACAATCACTTCAATCTTCTTTGCTTTCTAAAACACATCGAAATGTTGGTATTTTAATTTGACATTGAAAAATCAGTGCGTGCGTTTCCACGTGTATGAAGCCAGGTACAGCGAGTCTCACATCGTAGTTAAGACACCCTTTAAGGGTGAGGTGGGCCAATCCGTCACGGATCACCTTCAATTCCATCCTGGGCTCTTGCGGGCTCTGTGAAACTATACTGACGGTGAACGTGGAGTTGGGCGAGTTTTTCTGATCTATGTCCTTGACCTCCAGCTGAATCAGGGCTTCCCCTTCAAGGAGTAAGGAGGCAAAAGAGTTTTAGAAGTGACCAGTGGCAGATCATTTGCACCACAAGCCGTCCGCGCTACTCACCCTCTTCTGTATTTTCGTTCACGTTGTCTGTTAGTTTAGACACAAAAACTGGCGGGTTGTCGTTGAGGTCCTTCACTTCGACATTGAAAGAGAGCTCCCGGTCTATCGATCGACCCGTATCTTTGTTCAAGACATCAAATTGGATCTGTGGTCAAAGGCGCAGATGTGAGAATGATTTGTAATGGTTTTAAGAAATGTAGTAATCGCCACACGTCGCTCACCTCGAAGAGGCTGTATTTCTCCCTGTCGACAGATTTTTGGGCGTAAACGACTCCGGTGTCTTCGTTGATGGTGAACACTCCTTTCGGATCCCTATCCACGCCCATCCCACTGATGTGGTACACAACCCCCGTAGCAGGCTTCTTGTCATTATACATCTGGGGGGCAGACAAGGCCGGGCAGCTGTTAGTGTTATTGCACACTTCACGTACTTCACCTGGGGTAGTGATTGGTTATTCAATTTACAAACTGATGTCCTCACCTTTGAAATTTCCTTTGGGAATGGCCCCGTATCTTCTTCTTCTATTTCAATCGTTGACAGGACCCATCTTCTTTTGGAACGTACCAAAAGTTCCTGTTGAAACCAGAATGAAAATCATTGACGTAACATTTTTGATATTTTCGGTTGGAGGGAAAACATTTCGGGGGGAGTTTGGATTTCCGCTGACCTGGTTGCCACGGCGAGGCTCTACCAGGGCTGTTAGTGCAACCTACGAGAGAGAAGGGGGATAATAAAACACTCACGACAGCAATGATCACGCTTCATTCAATCCTCACTCACTGTTAATCAAATACAGAGAGTATTGGGATTATTTATGCCTTTTCTTAATTAGGGGAGATGTCCATAGCTAAATACTTTTCCTGACAGGGACGTGACAATCAAGTACATTTATTTTATATTCTTTTCACTACCTAAAGTTGAACTCCGTGGCCTAAGGTCAAACGTGAAAAGGGCCGCTATCATGTTAGCGCTTGACTTTTAGAATGTTATGTTGTTAATTTGCTTCATTTTTAACAACTTTCGGAGGGTTTGTCCGTCTTGTCCGTCCGTCTTGTCCGTCATAATTCATTCATGAGCGAAGCCGTGTCACAGTGAACTGAGCTCCAACACGGGTTCTGAGGGATATTTGTAAGGTGATTGAAGAACTTATCCGACACACAGAATCAAGCTGTGAAAACTATTTTTTTTACATTTTAAAATGAAAACAGCTGCCACGCAACAGAAAAAGATTGCAGTCAACAGTAGTTCAGGAAAAACGCCACAGGGTTCGACGCTGAGGACGGCTCATGTTACCACGCTCACATGTCGTGTGTGTACATCATTTAAGTCATAGAACTGGTTCTGCTTCTATACTTCCTCTTTTCATATTTGCTTATGCAAAGCATCTACAACACCCAACATGATTAAAAACATAGCTAAACATTTATTATAGTCGCTGATAATTGAGAATGCCTACCAACAGAAGCAGGGAAAGGGCCTTCATCCTCCTTCCTCGATATACTCCGTGGGAATGATAGAGTGAAACACAGCGTGAAGAACGGGGAGGGCAGGGGAGACAGCCCACAACGCCCACAGGCTACAGGTGGGCTGACCTCGCAGGTAACAAAAGCTGTTTGTCACTGTTTGCATCCACGTGATCCGTCGAATCTTGTCCCTGTGCGGTTTAATATGTGCAAAGCAAGGCCAGTGGGAGCTTTTGCGTAGGTATAAAGTACCTGTGTGTTTGCTTCTGTATCTAAACATATTTTGTTAGAGGAGTGGCTTTCTAGCTGTGCTGAGAAACAAATGTCTCGGCTCTGATGAACAATCCTCCAGCTCCGTGGCTCACGTTACCATTTCTTATTCATGACCGACCTGCATGCAGAGGCAGTTTTAAATGACATTTTAAACCCATTGGTGCATTTTCGGTCCCTGTGACACTTTCTTCAAACCAGCTGTTTGTCATTTCAATTATGTACATTTTGTTCTTTTGTACAAGCGTATATGTACTTATACATAGATTGTAGGGTGTGCGAGTCTAGACATGCTGTACCCTACAATCAAAAGGTTGGAAATGACAGAGATAGTTCAGGTAACCTCTTCAGTAACTCTCAGTCAGACGGATTTGTTATGTATTTTTATTTATTATATTACAGTATAAAATTAGTTTTGTGTGTTAAAATTCAACTATTTTACTTTTAATGAAGTAGCCAGAGCAGTTTGTGTTAAAGGAAATGATAATGTAAATGTCTGTGTTTACACGCAACTTTGAGAAAAAGGAAGTGACTTTATTCATTAATTAATGACGAGTGACACATCCAAGATGTTGAGGATCCGTCTGGCAGAGTTGTGGAATGCTGCCAAGCAAACTCTCCTTGGGCGTAATGCGCGTGTGAGGCTTTTTTAAATAACTATTACTGGAAAGCGTAGTGGCTTAAAATGTTGACACTTAAAATGTTGATTGAATTAAATTTAAATTTGCCCTATTCAAACTTTAAAGTAATGAAGTAAAATAGTTGGGAATAATGTGTATTATTAAGATGGCGTGGGATCAACAATTCCATCACATCTTTCTGATATTATTTCTTAAGAAATCTTGAAAAAACATAATATTAATATACTACAATATAACATTTTGTATCCAGAGTTAATGTAGCTCTGCTTAGAAATGGGGTTTCAGAAAAACAGAATGTAGAAAGTGCACTTAAATCATATTTCAAATCTTTTCACGTTGATTTAATAGACTCTCTGTATATATGACACACTAAAAACATGTTATATGCAAATCTGCATTTGACACAAGGAGTTGACTCTTAAAACAAACAAACCTGCTCTGCTTGTCGGTTGCGTGACACTGGGATTGATTTTAATTGCTATTTTCTCTCAACTCAACATCTTTATGGGAAGTGCTACCAACAGATTTAGCCTCAGGTTGCAGGTAATCATAGTTATTTTATTTTGTCACGCATCCAAAAGGGGGAAATGTTTTTATTACGGCGTCTGACAGTTCACCCTTAATTTAAAAAAACAAGTTTGTCTGCGTCATTAGCTTCGGGTGAAGGACATTTGTGTCTATAGTAAACGAATACCAATAATTGAATAATTGAAAGAAAGTATCTGAGAAAAGAACGTGGCAGAACACATTTGAGAGTAATTATGTTGTATGTAGGACTTGTAACCATTGAGACCATGAACTCACGTTCACAGTGTTTACTGAGGTAATAAATCAAGTGACACTATAGAATCAGACTTCTTTTTTGTTGGAGCAGTCGCCCTCCGCGGCTCCTCCCAACACCCAGAATGAACGGGAGCAACGATCACGGCATCAGCAAAGGTCGAGCGATCCCAGTGTTCCGAAGCATTTTTTTAAATTGTCACCAACATTATTAGCATTCCTTTGTGGTGTTTTTACTCTGGGTTACAAATCGGTGGAGAAAGAGCAGCGCAGACGAGTCGCGGCCTTTAAACGTTTTTGTTTTTATTTCAATTCATGTCAAGGTGTGCATGTCAAGTGGGAAAGAGATGTACACGTCATTTAACACTGTAAAAAGGTTGTTTGAAACGATTGCCGTGGACTCGACCAGGGGAACACCTGTTATACACCTGTAATATTTACCCTCCGCACCCTCGACCTGCATACACAAATTCCACATACCACACACACACACAGACACGCTGTCGCTCACCAGAAGGTCAAACATTTCCATCTTCTGACTAATAACTCGATACTTACAGCAATGCAACACTTTGTCGAATCGACATGATTGATAATGCGTAATGCAGTTACTAACAACCACGCAAAGGCATGCATTCAAACAAACACTTTGCTCATGCACATGGAAATAGACCTTTTGGGGTTTTGCGGACTTTGCCTGAACTCGCCCCTCTTTTTTCAGTCGTGTTTGCTCCCTGAATGGGACTTTACTTTGTTCCTTCAGCTGTGTTTCACCCGAATGGTCCCGGTTCACACGAGTATTTGGCACACTCGCTTTCAAGAAGAAAAAAAAAATGTCTTGAGGTGCCAAAACATTTTTCTTTCCTCTTTGCCAGAACACGTGTCTGCATGCCAACGGGATGACTGGTGTTATTTGCATATTAGAGTTTGATGACATAGAGTAAAACCAGTTTTTACCCACAGAGCGCCCAGGAGTGAATCACAAATAGGTCAACCCTGCTAGGGTTTTCCCTCAAAAGAAAGGGTTGAAAGGTAGAGAGACTATTTTTACCGATAAATTACAGTAAAATTCAGTCTTTATGGAGATTCAGTTGCGAGGCATCTTCCCTCCTCGTCCTCCTCCTCCGTCTCTTCGTCCCTGGCGTGGGGGACGGAGGTCAGCAGCAGCGTGTCGGCGTGGACCTCCTCATCGTCCGACTGGATCACCGGTGTGTCGACCCCCCCCACACTGGTGTCGGTTGAACCGGAGGACGTTGAGGACATGCGGGGCTTCGAGCTGCAGTGAACTTCGTCTTGTCGTTTCAGAGGCGCGCGCTCCCTGTACACCACCTCTGCAGCTTCATCCTCCTCCTCTTCCTCCTCCTCATCTTCCTCTTCCTCACCTAAAAATGTCAAGCAAAACCTTTTAAAACATTTTACTTAATTCACTGTTGCCTGTGAAAGTGAATTAAAGATATGCATTTGTATTTCATAATGAAATAGTTGGGGGGGGGATCAAGACTCGGAGGACGTCAACGCACCTGCAAGTGGAGATGCCAGAGCTCCCTCGTCCGCTCCTGAGCCTGAGTTGAGGAACACGTCGAGGGCCTCCTGGTCCGAGATGTCCATCAGGTCCATCTGCTCCAGCACGTCCACGTTCACCTCCATAGAAGAGATGCTGCCCATCGGGGCTGCATGTACATGGAGAACAGCATACATGACAGGAATACCCAATTGTCAATGTTCATGTCTTCTTGATAAATAGTGACACTTTGATTATTTATGGCCCCATAACTGGACAGTCCACTCACGTTTCCTGCAGTTGACCTGCAGGTGAGCAGAAGGCAGGTAGTTGTCAAAGTCATGCTGGTAGACCTCCTCAAAGAAGCGGCGTCTCTCCCTGAGCTTCAGGTGCTGGGCCGAATCATTGTCCAACACTCGCTGGGCGTTGTCTGTCTCCGCTGTCCCCCCGAACGAGATTAGTGCCAGACAACAAAGACAACGTTGTTAACACATCGCATTTTTGTTAATTTCATTCATTTTTCTGCTTGACATTTCATGATTGAGTCCAGCCCCCCCGCAACCCTGAAGATGGATGGATGGGATTTCATGACCAAATATTTTTTTACTTTTCTTTCCATGACAATTTTTCGACCTAATATATTTTTACATTTTTTACCTAATATATTCACAATTTTTTCATGGAGGTTTTGAACTAATATCGCATTTTTTGAACAATATTATTTTTACTTTTCCTTCCATGACAATTTTCGACCTAATCTTTTTAAACTTTTCTTTCATATTTTCTGACCCAATACTTTTTGACAATATTTATGTATTTATACTCTGACATTTTTTGACGAAATATTTTTCGACTCCATTTTTTGACGAAATTACCAAATATACTGTATTTGGGCATATATTTAACATAATATTTTATGACTTTTTTTTTCCATGACATTTTTCAACCTAACATTTTTTTCATGACTGTTTTTCACTCAATATTGTTTTACTTATATTTCCATGAGGTTATTAGTTTAAAATGAGAGGCTACATAGATTAACATGAACCATCATTTTCTGATGGCTGTAGGATCTGCTAAGATATTATGTTAGCAAGAGAAAACACTATACCTCCCGTATTGGGGGAAAGGGGGATTGGTTCCAATCTGCTATGATCACATCCATTTAGAAAACAGGAAGTCTACACCATTGGCAGAGCTTGAAATGCGTCACCTTTGTTACCGAGCATCTGTGACGTTACTGGGGATATTTATTCATTTTTGTATTTGTGACAATGCTGAATCTTTTTTTAAAGCAAGGGAGAATCTGTCCTCAGGTCTACCTCCAGCATCGACCTCTGCCGTGATGACCAGCTGTGGTTGTGTAACTGTGCTACATCCTCCTCAGCACGCATTGTGCCTTTTCCCACTGGGCTTAGAGAGCTGACACTTTGATTCATGTCACCAGTGTTTCAACATGTGTGTGTGTGTGTGTGTGTGTGAGCACGTTTGCATAAACTGTATGTGCTCACGTATTCATGCTTTTGCTTAACGATGCATTTAGTTCATGCTCATTTGTGTGTGTGTGTGTGTGTGTGTGTCAAGCTTCCATGATTAAGTTGTTTACATGATGCCAGCAGATGGATCCATCATGCACAGTATCAACATAAAAGAATCACTCTTTCCCAACACGTTTTGTCAGGCCCTAAAATGTCCGGGTCCGGCATGTGATGCCCCATATGATTTTTTTTTTTGAGGCTGGAAAAAATACTTCTAAGCACTTCTTCGCAATTTCAATAAGGGCCAAAAACTCTAAATATTCCCTTGCATAAGTCTCCAGCCGTGGCCCATCGGTCCAGCAAAATCACGCACACAGCAAAATGAACGGCGCGGAGGATCTTCTTTCACGATATTTGGCAGATAAATCATCATCATATTTAAGAGACATAGTCTTTAGGGAGACACTCAGCATAAACCATTTAGATTGCTATCCAGTGGCCATCTGCCAGTGTCCACGATCATTCGGCTGTTGTGGTTCGGCAGCAGTGGGCAGACAAGTCAAGCCTGTTGCTACAGGCTGTGAAAGCAATTCCGAGCCTTTTCGATTTCCAGCGAACGTGAATTTCTCTCGAAATCAGATTTGGCAGCTTGAGTGTATGCCCAACCCATGCATGCATGTCAAAAGCTGAATCATCCAGATAACCTCTGTTAAGGCAACCTGTCTGTGCAGACTGGGTGGGGTGGTGGGAGGGGAGGGGGGTTTCCATGAAAATTTGTTAATTGGATGTCTACCGAGCCAATGGAAACCTGTGGTGCATCACAGAATATGCGTGCAGAGGATGTTGTGTTACAATGTAGATTTTACAGTGTTTTAAAGTTACCTGAGAAAACGTTGAGTGTACCAAAATGCCCCATTTAAAGATTCTAACTAAAACCCTCTCGACCCTTCCTCTGCTTCACTTTACGAGCATCAGTGTCTATGGTGACATGTTCAGACGTGGTGGTTTGAAAGGGGTCCAAGTTTTAGTGCGGTAAGTACAGTATAACTTTTAAAATGAAATATTTAACCATTTAAATATACTTTTGTGAGTATGGAGACTCACACCTTTGCAGAAATCCCACCAGTGTTACCTTCATTATGATACCATGAACATTCGAATAGACTAGTCTATTGTGACCTTAAGCTTCAGCGAGGTCAAAGCCTTCAGAGTGTCTGCTTTAGAATTTGATTTAATATGAGGTTTTCCAACAAATGCTCATTTCTAATATCCTATTTCTAAGGTGCAATAGGAGGAGCAGAGGAGCCTGAAGAGACACGTTGACCTGTGTCACATGTTATTATTTTTAGATGCAATGGAACAGTAATACTCAACTCTTTATCTCTTTTTGGGGGCTGCCCTCTTTGATCTGTCACATGACCCATGCCCCCTTCCCAGCAATCCCCGCTCCATATCAGCCCACACTGAACCATGATTACCTGGGGCTTATAGTTACATAATGCTGGTGCAATCCTTCAACTGCACAGCCAACCACACTAGGCGGCTAGAAGAACTGCACGGTTACGCAGTTTGTTGTCTGGGTTGTGTGCACATTAATGCCTGTGTTGGATTAGTTGGTAAAAAAGGAATAGAGGAAGAAAGAAAAGGAAAAAGGAGTTAGTCAAGGACAGGAGAGAGGGCGGAGGGGGGGGGGGGGGGGGGGTGTTACGCAACCCTGCGTGCATTATTTCCGGGATGAAGTAGTATCAGTGATTTGAGGCAAAGAGCATTACCGGGTCTGCTTGCCTCAGCTAAGTCTCGTACTGACACAAACAAGGGTGAGGTACAGGGAGGCCGTGCATTTTCGGATTTTGTTGTGTGTCAACAGCTCTGAAAAAAAAAAAAAGTCTTCGACCATGTCCCCTCTTGCATTGCTAGCTCTCAGATCCTCAGCCCTCCATTGTATTTAGGACTCTGACAGAGAATGTAGAGGTGGTGTTGGGGGAAAGGGGATTTGATCCGGGGGGGCAAAGGTGGTAGCTGAACTGAAGCACATGATTTTTTCAAATCCTTCTTATTATTTTTTTTCACGGTCTGATCCTTCAGCCACTTCCACCTCTCCCCTTACTTTTCTATTCTAAAATACCAAATCACTCCCCGGTCTCGCTCTCTCTCTCTCTCTCCCTTGCTGTTTTATTGCGTCCCAGCATGCAATGTGCACGCCGTCTCCCTCTGCTCTCCTTATCAGCATCTTTTGGACGACGGAAACATTAAACACGAGTCATTAGCCAGGCTCTGTGTCATTCTAATGCTGCGCTCATACACCGCGAGTCCTGGGAACTGCAAAGGAACAAATGTTCCCATTGAAGCACGGAGTCACATGGTGAACCCTTCAGCGCCAGCGGAGAGAAACCCCGTGATCATCTGAGGGGGACAGAGAGAGAGAGAGAGAGAGACGCAGCTAGTAAGGCCGTTGAACTGCATGGCTGCTTTCGCCGGACAGCCCATCAATCTCGAAGTGCACCCTCACTCTCCTGCAGCACCTCACCCCTCCTGCCCCGAGGGAGGGGAGGGGAGGGGGGGTGGCGGCGATGATGGCGTCAACCGCCTCTCAGCAGCACAACAGCCGCATCACTTTATTTCAGCATCACTACTATTATATACCGAGCCGATCCGTCTCCCCTGCCGGCCTCGTGGCCACCAGCGGTCCATCGAGCATAAATCATTTATGAGTGAGATCACTGCACCACAACAGCCCCCCCCAGCCCACCCCACCCCCAGCCCCCCTCGCACACACAAACACACAGCCATGTAGTGGAAAGTAAACCCCAGAAGGCTGACTTGTGATACCATGGTATCAACCTGTTCCCCCCTCGTCTTCATCACACCGCAAGCGCTCCGCTTTAGCGTCAGCGCCTCGTGTAAATCAAGTCAAATCAATCACACGCACGGCGTGATTACATCTTGAACCTCCTCTGACCGCCTACTCGGCGAGCGTGTGATCAGATTGTGTATTCCCAAGCCGTTCCCATTCCCATTCCCAAAGCCATTAGGGCACTTTACTCTGGGCTAAATGTAAAGATGACCTCCAGCCGGACCCACCGTGCCCGATCTAGGTCGGTCATAACGGGGCTTTCAGCGGTCTCCACAGCCTCCAGCCCGTGCACATTAACAAACACTCACACCGGAACGTATTCATCAAAAGCAGCAGGCGGATTATTCTCCTGACACCTAGAAACAGCCGTTGGTGAGGTCATGTGTTCAACTGGAGAGCAGGTCGATGGCTCTGTGGCGGGCAGGTGTAGCTGTTAGCCCGTCGCCACTCTTTCTATATAAAGACCTTCTTCCGGTAGCTTAGTCAGACTCTTAAGAGGTAGTTGTTACTGTATCTCTGCACTGTGATTAAAACCGCACCAGCGCCGCGGCTGTGAGGCTAATTTACCGAAGAAGAGATTAGAACAGCCACGACGTTTGCAGTAGTTTTTCGATGAAGGTTGAAGGCTGCAGCAAAAAGTGAACATGCGAAATGAACATGTGTTCGTTTGTGAGTGATAATATAATGAATGTAACGGCTTTGCTGTATAACTGTATTTACAGAAAGGACAACTGATGTTGTAGCGTTGAATTAGACGGTTTCCATAATGAGGTTTACGTTTTGTTGTTGAGTGGCGCATTATGATCCGTGTTCAGCTGACAGAAGTTAATACCATTCTTTGCACATTTTTGTATTTCAACTCTTCCTTACGGGCAATATGCAAAACATATGGATAAATCAATGTAGTATATTCCTCTCCAGAATTTAAAAAAGAGCAAGCAGTGAATTACAAAAATAAGAGAGTTCAATAATCAGGAAATTAAGTCATCAAACACAGAGCTTTTTTCACACTGGTTGCTACTTACACGCCAGCCGCTTGTTGTGGTTGGTCGATCCGGTAGACGACATGATGATGATGATGATGATGATGAGGGACCCGCTTGCAGAGAGTCTTTCTTTGCCTCGGAGTGTGTGTGTTTTTTCTCCTTGTCCCCTGGTGTCAAGGCTCCACGGCAGGATGCTGGTGTGTGTGCTGCCTCTTCATCTGCTCATTACATCTTTTGACTTTGGCACCAGGACCATTAAACATGAGCACATTCACGCAACACTTTATCTGCCTCTGTTGCTCTTCTTCTACTCTGCTCTGGCTGTGTTCGCCTCCTCCTCCTGCTCCTTCTCCTCCTCACCCCCCCTTTTCTGATTGCCTTTGCTTTTCTTTCTAGGTTTTCGTTCTCGCTGCTTCACACTCTCATCTCTGCTGCTCTGTGTGTGTAAAACAGACACACACACACACACACACACACACACACACTCACTGTGTGAGGTTGTAGGGAAGTGTGCAGCTTAGAGACGGTGGTGGGGGGGGGGCTACGGGATTGTGGCCTGTACCAACTGGTGACAACGAGGGGGTCAACAGGATAAAGCAGCGTATGCGCTTTCATTTCCCCCCCTTTTTTTTACATAATAACGCTGCACCGTTTGCTTTATATAATTCGGTTATAAGAGATGAGGCACTGCATGTTCGTATTAATAAAAATGTTCCGATGTTTGTTGATTCAATTATTTCATCAATGTGTCTCTTTAACAATGTTAATTTCTAATTAGGTATAATTTATAAGTTCACCTTATGAAAATAATGTTTCAGGAATATATTGTTCTGTAAAGTACCAGCATAAGTACATCCGGATCATTCCCATGAAAATACATTGTAAAACTATTTTCTAATAATGATTTTAGTTTTCTAAAACAGAAAACTAAAAGATTTTTTTTTTATATAATAAAAGAATAAATATTTTGAAAGAAATTACAAAGTACAAAGACAATAACCAGAGCAACTGAAAAGGTGAGAAAGCCTCTTTTAATGCCTTGATAACATTTACGCTTGATGTGTTATTATAAAATGTGTTAATTAATTATGTATTAATAGCAGCAGAAGGTTATACTGATATTAAAACTATTGAGTTTGCAGAGATGACATTTTCATTTTCATATATTTTGTAAAAGGCAATAAAAGCAACAAGATCAATTCTTTAAATCCGACACATCTAAACCGATTCCTCCCTTTTCCTTTGTCAAACGCAAACACCAGCGTGTACAAGCATACTAACATGTCATTACGCACTCACACACCAAGCGCACCATTGAAAACGCACATGTTCCCACAAACACACAAACCAAAGCTGTAACTGTCACACATGGAGGGGTTAACAGGCACTTGGCAGCAGGGGTTCTTGCAGGCCTCGACTCCCCCTTTCGTTAAAAAGAGGCTTCACAGAGACAGTTGCATTACATGTTCAGTTGGAGGAAGCGGCTCCCGTGCAACATTGTACACTATGGAGATAAGGAAATGCAATATAATTCATAAACTGTTCCACTTCCATTCTCATATTGACATTTGATGAGCGAGAAGAGATTTCCCTGCATGTGACCCCCTCATACACACTTAAAAAGGTTGAGTTAAAAATAACCCAATTTGGGTTGTTTTATAACTCAAGCGCTGGGTCACTATTGCACCAACCTAGCAGTAGTTAATTTGACCCAGCACTATGGGTTGGCCATTTTAACCCAACAGATGAGTTAAATATTCTACCCAAAATGCTGGGTCAAATTAACTACAATTCTGGGTTCATTCAACTACACACTATTTGTTGTCTATAAAACTGTTCAACTACAAACCTGTAACAAAATACATGCTAGATTTGTTCATGCAAATGTGGCAATACGAGTGGCCTATGACACTCAAGGAAACTAACAATGTCCAACAACGCCACTTGGGATAGGCCCAAGACCATTCTTAAGGCACACAGAGCCGTTCACCAAAATCAGGGGGTCAGAGACCATAGGGTAATTATAAAAATATACGGTTTTATTTAATTAAATATTCTTTTTAAAATGACAATATGTTCTTTGTTAAGAAGTGAGTACATGCGTGATAAAAAAAAAAAAAAAACAATTCAAAAATCAATACGGCTTCAGTGGCTGAGGGAGAACGCGCCGGGGAATATTGGCCCTTTAATTAGTCGTGGCACCAGGATAGCCCCACAATAGCATGTGCAAGGCTGCAGCCCGGTCCAGCAAATTACAGGACCGGACCCCGGCGGTGGCACCCACACACACACACACACACACACACACACACACACACACACACGTACACAGATAGCGGCCCACACGAGACACCAAACGCCAGCAGTCCAGGCATACATCCACCCACACGGGGACATCCATGACCAAGACAGGGTCGCACACCGCAGCAGAATGATGACCTAGGGCAGCGGCCAAACCATAAAGCACGCCTCCCGCACACGCCTCCCGCACACGCCTCCACAGACACCCAGCAGGAGAAGACAACAACAGAGCGAGTCCACACACCATGAGCTTAAGTAATGTCCCCGCCTCTCCCAATCAATCGGAATTAGCCCCAGGTATGCTGGTCCACCCCCCTGCGTGCAGGTAAGGGGGAGGGAACCAGCTGCCCTTGAGGCTCTACTTGCAAGCAAGTAATCGACTTTGGAGGAACTTTACTAACTTGGAACCCGCTCCTGGCATTTTATGAACAACAGCCTGCAGGAATTCCCACCCATGTTCACATTGTGTCGGGTATTTGATATCCAACACAAAGAATGCCTTGACGCAGACAGCGATTGCCTGAAGCAGTGTGTCGTGTACCAGAGCCCGTCCAGCAATGATGACGAAGGCCTGGGACGCTTGATGTTTGTCGTTTCCCAGTGTCAGGACACGTGGGTGCGGTCTGGATGCCTTGGCCTCATGTAGGTACTCGACCATGTTCGTTCCAGGCTAAAAAAGAAGATAAAATAAGATGGAGCTGTATTACTTGTGCAGTTTTAAAAAAGTATAAGGATTTAATTAAAAACATTTTGATGAATACAAGCAGGATAAAACGGTTTTACCTTGGCAGCTCCTGATCCAAAAATGGAGTGTTCTTGTGTCACGTAGGGTCAGACGTTGGTGGCTGTGTGGGATTACCTGCGCTTTTGCAGGGGATTTTGCAGACTTCTGTGGTTCAAAACAACCCAGTTGCTGGGTCAACCGATGTATGTTGGGTCGATGAGTTTTGACTCATTTAGCCCATGAGTTGCACAAAAATAACCCAACCCCCCTATAACTAACCCATAATGGGTAGAACATAACATAACTCAGCGTTTGGGTAGATGAAATAACCCAGCAGTTTTTAGTGTGTAGCGATGCTCCTCGTGGGCGAGTCAACGTTGGCATCTGCTGGAGGAGATTGTATATTACACCCAGGTCCCTCACTGCAACATTACAAGGACCGCCGCAATAATTTACAACACAAAAATTACCTTTTCACTCCTGTAAAATGATTTCCATAAAGCATCAAGTGTTCTTTCAATTGGATGATTCATCGGGAAATGCAACACAATCTATAAACATCTTTCAAATGTGTGTTTCAGGTTTCAGACACTCCCATGTTTGTTTCATTCAGGTGAACCAAAGGGGATTTCCACAGTGTTATTGTGTGCATGAGTGTGTGTGTGTGTGTGTGTGTGTGTGTGTGTGTGTGTTGTGCCTGGTGCTTCTTCTGAACCATCACTGCTGGCTTCCTCTTTGAAACTGTTGCCTCAATGTTCTGCAGTCTCTCAGCCTCTGATGTGGCTTGTGAGTCATACTATGGTAAATATACACTTTCTGCGCATGCACACACACACACACACGCACGCACACCACTCACACATGAAGACAAACTGACAGACGGGTGGATCGACATCCACGCACGCACACCACGGTTATATTTCCTCGGCCTTGGCAGTACGCATGGAGGAACACGCACATGGACTCCACGGTTCCTCACGGCGACCGACACACAACTAAGCCTCACAGACACACAAACGAAAGCTCACATCTCCACCTCACATCTTCACAGTCAGACGGCGAAGTCTTAAACGCGCTTAAACTTCATTGTAAATATCACTTCGTGCGGCTTGGGGGCGGGGGGGGGGGTTCTGTCGGTCACCATGGAAACAGACATCCAGGTGCCAAACGCGCGGATGCGCACACCTGCCCGCCTGCAACTCGCGCCTCTCAGCCTCCCCGTTGGATGTGCTGTCTGCTAAATGTGGCAGGAACGCACAGGCGGCAGCAGCGATGCCTTTGAGAGAGAGAGAGAGAGAGAGAGAGAGAGAGAGAGAGAGAGAGAGAGAGAGAGAGAGAGAGACTCGCTTGTCAATGTGATAATTATCCCGCGCGTCGTGAGCGCCATCGTCTGCGAATGCGACGAATACAACGTTCCGCGCCTCCGTTTCAGTGGATCGTTACCGGTTGTGATGTGAAAACTTTCTGGCATCACGCAGCGCAGCTGGTGTCACGATTTGGCTGAGCGCCGTCTTCCTGATCCCCCCCCCCCTTCTCCTCTCTCTCTCTCTCTCCCCCTTCTCCTCTCTCTCCCCCGGTATGCGTGTAGTTCCCTCAGTGACGCCTGACAGCTCTCTCATTGTGTTTGTGCGTCCGTCGGGCTGCGGACGCAACAACATGTGGGTCAGCGCGACGACTTGCGCCGTCCTCTGCGTGTCTGCGCGACATCTGGTGACTCACGTGCAGCGCGCGGGCCGCTTTGTTTGTCTCGTCACCACACTGACGTGTTTTCATGTGGATATTAGTCATTCGCAGATAAAAATAAAAAGAAGACAAACTGCGCAGTAAAACGGAAAGCCAAGTATCTATATTTTGTGTTTCCTGTCTGTGAAGATGTCAGATTGTGTGTGTGTGTGTGTGAGAGATGTAGTATTTTGTGAGTCAACACGCCACAAACGAAAAAGAAACACAGCAGTTCATTGTAGCATGAAGCGTTTAACTAGCAGTGATGCTGCCGTACAGCAACTTCCTGAAGATTAATGAATTCGTCGACAAAGGGAACAGTAACAGAGATGCATGTTGGGTAATAAAAAGATCCAAACGGGTGTCAATATAAAATGGTTCTATTATTAATGTCTCCCTGTTGCGTGTGTGTGTGTTAAAGCTCATGATAGGAAATAAAATACCATTCGAATGTTTCTTCGTGCGTGTGTGTATGCGCGTGAACTTGCATGCATGAGTATGTGAGTCACGCACCCCCCCCCCCCTCCCCCCCCCGTCACCACCCCCCCACGGGCCTCGAGTTCTGATGCCCATCTTTCAGCTCCTCCGTGCACACTGAACCCAGTGAACCTTCTGCTGTTTACACGCTCCCTCCTCCTCCTGCTCGCTCTGCCTCTGTTTATCTCCCTCACACACTCCCTCATCCGCCCTCCCTCCGTCTCTCACTTTACTTTCTCCCTGCTGCCCCCCCCCCCCCCCCCCCC